AGCCAATCCGTACACCTGTGCTCGGTGAAGGGGCTCATACTGCAAGAGTTGTGGATGGGCATCTGTGTAGTGCCGTCGAATCGATCTGACAGCTATGGCCGAGTGGCAGTATGCACAGTGATTGGCTAGCTCACTCATGAGTGCTTTGTTGAGGATCAAACCAGGGATGCTCTTGTATCTGAGATGCATGCGGAGGTCAGGCCGATCACATATTGGCACGATCGTGTCCTTGGTCGGGTCAAACAGCAAGCAAACCCTTTTATTGATGTGATTCCTCAATCTATAGAAGTCTGTGAAAGCTTTCAAAAAATGTCTACACGTCGAATGGCCATCTAGAGCATCTCTCAATGGTTGATAGAGATCATCCGGAAGACAAGGGATTTGGTGATATTCTCTGAGATATCGTTTGTACGAACTGGCCTGGGTAAAGGCTCGAACATATTCAGCGCATCGAAATCCTGATTCCTAAGTCGAGTGCAAGGGGACCAGGTGTTGGGGAGTGATGTGTGCTTCTGGGTACTCTGGGATCGTGACACAAATATCTTCAATCGATGCAGACATGGCCGAACTACGGAGAAAATCCCTTCGGTGATTCAAGGCTTTCGTCAATCGTTGAAAGTGCTGCTGTAGTGTGATCCATGGAGGATGAAGTCCTAATGAGGTGAAGAATTCCATGGTTGGAATCCGTGTGAGATGGACTGGTGCATGAGCAATTGATCATGCCAATGATGGTTTGAATGCCATATGAGGCTATATAATCCCATCTCAAATACTTCGTACAGAACAGTCGGAAGAACACATTGATTGTACAAACGAAATCTGATCTTGATGTCATGATGCCTATCGAGAAGCCACCTGCGGAGAATGCGAAAGCATGTTTGAGCGGCAGCGATCCGACGTCTGACCATGTCTGCTTCCTATGCCCTGTAACTCACAATGGTATCTAAGTATGAGGTTTTGCTCACGAGAGGAATCGTCAGATTTGCATCCGGCAGGTGCAGCACAAGACATGTTGTAGGTCTGCTTGTCCAACGGCGGAGAAACGGATTCAGCGCTCTGCCTACCAGTCGAGTGAGAGCCACACTCTTCTGTTGATTGATGTGAAGGCCATATGCACCAAACACCCGGATCAGGAAGGACATGTTATGCAATGCGGCGAGGCCTTCACTCGGCGAGGTGATGATCCATCTGAGATGGATGTTAAAAATATCTGCATAGATGAGGATATGATTGACGATCCAGGCATGATCATATTGGGCCAAAAGGTCTTGAAGTATGAGATATATGCTAATGGTCCAGAACATGGGGGCATCTTTGGATCCCTGCTTAATGCCTCCTGAAGCCTGGATCCTGAAGCCTGGAACATGCCAATCAATTCCTTAAGAGAAATGCAATACCTATGCGGGGCCAGCCACGAATGCACGAGATTCTGCAGGTCGGTGGACATGTCGAATGCATGGAGTGCTCTGGAGACCATGGACCTACTGATTGTGTCAAAGACCTTTTCCATGTCTAACGAAATCTGCATGCCTCCCCACAGGCCCTGCTTAGCTTGGTCTTTGCCGTGAGCTCTGCACAAACCTCTCACTGTTCTGCAGTGATGGGAAATTGTCAGCAGACAATCCTTAGTTCCCCGGTGTGCCATGTACGCGTACAAAGGCATGGTTCGCAGGACAGGATAGATATGGTGTTGCATCAACCGACAATGGATGCCTGACATGACTTTGTTCACAGGGTGCTGAAGACAAATGGGTCTCAGTGCTTCAGGCTTATTGGGGGTCTTATTGGGTTTGGGAATGAGATGCAGCCAGCCCGTCGACCATCTAGTGGGCGGAATGCACGGATCAATTGTCTAGGTCCGACAAATGCATTCATAGATGATGGGGGTCAACTACGGTGCGAAATGCTTCCATATCAGGGCCGGGAATCCATCTGGGGCCAATGCTTTGGTGATTGGTAGTCTTTCAAGTTCCTACTGTGCATCGTCCTCAGTGAATGGCAGAGTCTGAAGGGAAGGTGGATGAGGAAGTGGAGGGTGAATATCAATGAACAGTGTCTTGAAGTAATCTATCAATCGGTTAAATTCTTGGTCCTGAGACATTGGAGCTCCATATTGATCGAACATCTGAATGCCACGAACCTGTTCTTGGGACATAATGTACGTACTCGTTTATACCATTCATGCATCTGATTTCGAAGGACAAGCGGCACACTTTCCTCTAGGAAGGTTTGAAGTCTGTTCTTACGATTCATGCGACTTTGTTTACGAATGAGCTTATGCAATTTATCAAATTCAGTGGCATGTTTCCAACTGGTGAACAGGGTATGTAGTGTGCACGGCTGAGGTCTCATCAGTTGACGACGAATAAACCATATCTGAGCGCTCATGGATCGTACCTGAGGACAAAGCGATCGGATGACATGTTGCGTGGCAAAATGTTGGACACATAGGGCTCGAACCTATTATTCAACGGACATGCATATATCAAGAGCATTGGACTCAGACCGAGCGGTCACCTGGTCAAACAGGTTGAACATCTTGGGTTCGAAAAGTTGCCAATTCTCGTTCTGGTGCTTGAAATCGTGCCTCAAGCGCTGACGGTCGATGTGAACCTGTTTGGGAGTGCATCGAGGTGGAGCAAAACATCTGGGCAGGGATATGGTCAGCGGGTGGTGATGGGGATCTTCATTGGGTAGGGATCGTTCAAATTGAATGAGGATCCTAGCATCATGTTTCCGGCCTTGATGCTAATGTGTCCTAAGAAACATGAAGTCAATCCGAGACGAGTGTGGGCCATGTTGAAAGGTTGGATTCCATTTGCCCCGACAGTGGGGTGCACAAAGATCAAGGTCGTGTATTAGATGTTAAGAATTATGCTTATCCGTCTGGGCTGCCTAACCATATTTGACATCTCTGGATTCAATGGTAGGTGGTGCTACAATCACAGGGGTGTTATAATCACCTGCAATCAGGAGCATATGGCTCTTAGGGACATTTGTATGGCATCCCTGACGGATTTCCAAATCAAGGCACGTTCTTGGAGGAGTACATTTCGAGATTTGGTTGTGTTCCAATTTACCTAATATATATTGAATACGTTATGGATCCTAGTTAAATACAATCTGATGTGCTGGACGCGGCCTGGAAATACAGCGTGCTTCGAATCATGCACAAGAAGGAGGCCCGTCCTGCAGAATTGTGTATCATATACCATCCAGGCGCAGTTCAACGTCTGTTGAGATTCCAACCTGTCTCTTGGACCAAAATCATCGTGTATAGTTGGGTGGAGCACCAGATAATCCATTCGTCAAGCTGAAGGCTCTGAAAGGCGTTCCAGCAAAATATCTACCAGACCTCAGAGGACGATAGCATGGAGTGCACCTGCTGGGGCTTTACGGCAAATCGACTTCGGATTTCAGTAATAAATAATTACTTCATTCTAAAAAGAATTATCGAAGGCCAAAGCTCCTTACCCTTGTATTAAACACATTCGTACAGGAATAATCTCTTACATATTCTACGAAAACTTCTCTTAATGCATTTAGATCGTGATGGGTTTTGCATATGGCCGGAGCCAACTAGCGCCCATGCCTTGTTAATTTTCTTGTCAGGCCTAGTCTATTCAAAGGGGGTGATTATAGCATTCTAATCACAACACGAAATATCTATAATAACCCTCACGCCGGACATAAGATAAGCAAAAACAAATTTATCAGCCCGCGGAATCATATCCTTCGGACTTAAAACTAGAATTGCCAAATCATTATAAGCAAATATTAATGCAATTATAATCGACCAAAAATATATTTAATCGTCCATCCAAAAATCTGCCAAAATATTTATTCCGCGGTTTCGATTCGACATAAACGAAAAAATCCTAAAAAAATAGCTATACGAATCTAAACTAATACTAACATTTAAATCTACATCCATTCCATTAAAATACAATAAAATTCATCAATAATAAATTATATAATTAATATATATATATATATCAATATATCTAAATCTATAATTATTTAATACGAAACGAATCCTATATTAAATATAAAGGTCTATATTTATATAAAATTATATCAATATTCAAAGATTAAAACCAAATCCCAATATATAATCTGTTCAAACAATTATACCAATTTCGAAACTAAACGAAATCGAAACCAATATCCATCCCTCGTAATAATTCGCCCGACGATCTATAATAATATATATAACGATCGGATTCTCGTATTCTCCTAAAATAATAAAAAAAACCCTCGCGATCGGGATAAAATAATCAAACTCGCATAGCTTAAATAATTCCATCGTAATTAAATTTTAAGACCAAATTTTACAAATCTAAAAATACCGAAAGATAAAAGAGCAAAGAAGCAAAACGATACATATTATAAACATAATTATAAGTAACTCATAGCACGAAAAAAAGAAAAACATCAACGCCCGACGCTCCCTTTCTTAATCTGCAAATGGCGCTTAAATTTACATATTTATTTATATATACAATATTCAAACATTTCAATAAATATAATCATCATTAATCATTATCATTACCGCCTTCATTTATTACCCATTACTACCTCAAGGAACGAGTCCGCCGCAATCAACACGTGAAGGCGGGAAGTAAAGCTATCCGAGCCCAAATTCAATCCACTCAGTATGAGCACTGGCTCCGCGATCTTTGCCTCCATATTGGGGACTTAGTCAAAAGGACAAATGTCTCAGTATCTATTCAAAAAAGTAGCTTCTGAGACGAGATTTTGCCAAGATGCTGCTGAAAAGGATCTGCTATATTCCACTGCCACAAGGTATCAATTTGTAGATCAGCTAACGTCATTGGAAAGTAGCAAACCTGCTTTTCATTCATTGCAACTCAACCATTCCACAAAAGCATCTGCGATCCATCATGCAACATCTGCAATCCATCATTAACGGTCTGTCACTCTCAACGCAAAGAGTGGGTATTGGAAGCGGGTAGCATATAGGTACATATATATATATATTAATTGGGTTTTAATGTTTTTAATATGGATGTCTGTTTAATCAATTCAACAAAATTCCGAAATAGTGAAATGCCCTCAGTATTATATTCAATGGCAACAGCAGCAATGTCGAAGTCAATTCGATTCGGCAAATTGTTGTCTTCCGTCAACAGTTGAATCAATAGCCTGGAATTGAGCTGCTGTTGGCCAGCCCTCAGTCAGGTCTTCTTCAGCCCGAACCAATTCAAATACAACTAGTGCAATATGATTGGCTTGCTTGAGCAAGTTAAGAGCAAGCAATTTTTGGTTTCAATGACACAAAACATGAAATACAAAAACGTGAGCTGAGCTGCTTATTCCCATGCTTTCCAAGCATATGTTGGAGTTCTCCCTTCCAATGCTCATTGCTTGCCCTCAAAGCGTCTGTCTTAGAACCTCCAAGTGCCGTGTCAGGTGACTTGGTTGCCATGTGCCATTGGCCCTGCAAATTGATATAGATTGCTGCAGGGCCGACCAATTCTTGTCCTTTTTGGAGGGCCGTCATTACAGAGTTGTAGCTGATTGCATCGGTCTGCACCGAAAAAACCCTCCTAAGTAGCCCAAACGTCTTCATTGCATGGACCCATCGACTCTGCTTCTGCAATCCTCCAAGAATCGTGTTACATGATACAGTGTCCAATGACAACGAGCGTCTTGGCATTTCGCGCAAAACTTCCAAGGCTCTTTCCCATTGCACCCCGATTGACAAAGCGCTGAGGATTGAATTTGCTGCAATCAAGTTCAAGTCTATCTGATTGCAGTCAATCTCCTGAAGAACTTGAAGTGACTTCTCCCAATGCTGGCCCTCCTCGAAGGCATTGATAAGGGCACTAAAGGTTACAATGTTGGGGTCCTCAAAGTTGTCTGCCATCCTCTGTCTGTGAACCAAAGCCCGTTCCCATTGACTTCCTTGGGCACATGCACTAATTATGCTGTTGTATGTTTGAGCATTAGGTTGAACTGTCTGGCTATGCATCGTTTCCAGTACCTGCACTGCACGGAGCCATTGCCGGTGCTTTGTGCAAGATGCGATCATGGAAGTGTAGGTGAAAACGTCTGGAGACAGGAAACACTCTCCGGCTTCCTGCAGCATCCTCAGTGCCACCAGCCAAAGTGTTGCTGTTTCACAGGCAGCAACTGCGATATTCAAAGTCACTCGATCCATCTCAAGACGAGTCCATCTCATCTTGTCTAGAAGTTCCATCCCCAGTATCCAGTTGTGGGATCGACAACAAGCACTCATGGCCGTGTTGTAAGAGACGACATCTGCCTTGATGTCCGTCTGTTTCATCTCGTCAAGTAGGACCAAAGCAATGTGCCACTGCTGCCCCTTGTCACATGCACTGATGGCACTGTTCCAAGTGACCAGTGACACAAGGCGGCCAGGGCTGCGATCCGCTTCTTGCAAGGCCACTAGGGATCGGATCCAATCATGTTCCAAGGCCTTGACCATGGTGCCAAAGGTTACAGCGCTGGGTCTCAGTGCCTTTGACCCAAGGCCTTCGAAGAAATCCAGAGTTTGCTGCCATCGTTGGGCTCTGGAGCATGCGCTCATGCAAGTATTGAGGCTTGCGATATCGGGCTGCAATCTCTGAGCGTCAATTTCCCTAAGTAAGTGCAACGCCCACATCCACATGGAACTTCTTTCACATGCGCTGATCGTGGCGTTGAACGAGATAATAGAAAGCGACACATGGCTCTTGTGGCTGGGAATGATAGGTGCACCAGAAGGACTTGACTCAAAAGACTCCCCATCAATCTTTGCAGCTTGGGTCTTGCGCTGCAGATCCAACAACACCTGCAAAGCCAAAGCCCACTGCTTACCTTGGCAAAGATGTGAGCGTAAGAAAGTCATGTGAGCAACTTTGTCAATTTACTTGGGCTCGCTTGTATCACAACTAGCCTTACCTTTGGAAGAAAATTACGACGCCCAACAGCTGTCAAAGCAATAGATCTCATCAATCCATCAATCCTACTTCATGGCTTTCAAAAGGATTCCCCCAAATGGTTTGAATCCCCTTCCAAAAAAAGCGTCGTCGTCCGCAGCGAGTTATCACCCTTGTAGTTTCACGCAACAGCTTGGCATAGCCACAGCCATTGCCGCTGCTACCGCTGCTCATTGAGACCCTCTCGAGCCAAATCAACATACCGCAAGGATGGTGGAAAAGGTCTGTCAATGCCTGCCTTAGGAAGGAAATCAATCCACAAGTGCTGCAGAAGTGATTTTCTGAACCAATCACTCCAGCTTGACTAGCTCTGGCATCTCAGCTCCAACTCTGGATGAGCGGTCCTTGATCAGCAAAACAGGGCCAAGACTTACAACCATCACCAGACTGCTACATCAAGCATGAAAACACATGCAATCCGCTCTCTGAGCGCAAGACCATGTATACTTGGCAAAGGATCCTTCCAGTGAGAGGCTGCATGCCAAGTGTAAGGAGAATGCAATGGTAGCTTCAACTTCTAGGACAAACATTGGTAGACCGATCAGAAGAGAAGCCGACTTGATAGTGTCAATTGAAAGGTCAAGAACTGGGCCTTCACTGCAGCAATCTGCAAAGCGACACGCCTCCACAGAAAACAACGTGGACATGAACAGTTCAGGAAATCTTAGCCATGAAACGACCGAAATTCTGTGCAATGGGTGGCCCTGAAAGAGGGACTCGTCCGAGTTCAGGAACTTCATGAAATGAGATGACACCAAACAAATGTCGTTTTCAGTCTGGCTTGATAAGGCTTCGGACAGGCTTCGAAACTGCTCCTCTCCCAATGCAACGTTCTTTCTGGACCCTTTCGAACGTCATGCTTTGTTCTGAAGTCACTTACTCTGAGGTTGATTCGTGGTCATGGTTCAGGTTGGCGCTTGGGGATCCATGCCCCCAACCAACCAGGCGAACCAATCCCAACTCCCACCCAAACCCACCCCCCGTTCCTGAATCATCAGAGGTCCAACACTCTTTTTGCTCTCTTTTTGATGAACCACCATGAAACCAAACTCTTCCGAAAAGAAAAGAAAGATCCCACGATCTCCCCACCCGCCTGGTCACTCCCGAAGACCTTTTTCCACGGCCGCCACGGAGGCGGCCTGTCCGGCCTATCCCGCCTTCGACGGAGACCTCAACGGGATGCACGTCGAGAGATGCCGACGTCGAGAGAGGACGGATAGAATGGGAGACAACCCTGGTAGCATCTGGACACAGCTTCTCAGTTGAGAAAAGATCGTTCTGGGCAGAATCTGAGACGAAGACGAAGACGATAATGATAAGAAGAAAATCAAATACTTGGCAAGCAGGAAAAAGGTGCAGCCACAAGGGGAACGGATCAATTTTTTGGGGCAAGGGATGATGGAGAGGATAAAAAATGTTGGAAGCTAGCGACTGGAAGGAACAACAAGCTCTTCAATGCATAACCTGAAAAAAAAGAACAAACATCTTCTGCCTCTAGCAGGGTTTCACTTATGCCATATGAAAAAAACACTACGAGTAAGAGAGCCATGCTCTCCACACAAACTCACTGCACAAACAAAGGCCCATCCGATAGGAGATAGAAACAGTATGTAATGTATGTAAAGTCAGGATCAATAAACCTCTCCTAGTTAATCCGAGCCCACAAAGCCTCGGACAATTGTTACATAACAGTATAAGTGCCGGTTTCTCCACACAGTCGGACTCAGCCACACGCATCGGTCATTTTTCTCTACACAAGCACGGTTGGACAAAAAACGGTTCGGATCTTTGGACTCCACGGCGTGCCGCCGATGCACAAATGCGGCCCCAAATCGGATCGGCGCGCCGATTGGTCAAATGAATGATCAAAGCGGGTGGAGCCTCTCACTCAAGAAAAGCACAGCTGAACTGATCCATTTGGGACGGTGGAGAGCGCTGCGTGGACCAGGCCGTGACTGCCAGGTGACTCGCCTCTCAAAGCTGTAGCAACTGCACGTGTAGCTCGTGTGCTTCGCCCCGCTGCAGCGTCGGCAGCTCGGATTGCAGCTCCTGCAGGTCGAAGAGTGGCCCCTTCGTCCAAGCTGGACACCGTGGCATGTGCAAGCTGTGTGAGCCCAAAGCAATAAACATGATCAGTGGATAGAATCTGCAAATTTTTTGGACTTGGAAAACAAGGGGGCAAGCTATTTGAGGTTCTACAGGTTGACAAGGATTGAGAAATGATGCCAGGATTTCTTGAGTTTGCTTAGGCCAAGGAGAAACGGGACCAAGAAAAGACCTTTCAAGATCTCAAATGCAGTCTGACGGGTTCTTCGACCACACACACCCTTCTACAATCTCCCCTGGCTTACCAGCTCTACACATGCAAGAGATAAAGAAACTATGAACATGGCCTGGTTCAACTATCAACGCGTGATTCCGATGAGTCTTTGGGGCTCAGACATGTGTGTCTTCCATGTGCAGTTGTCAAACTTGTCATGAACAAAGCAAGGAAAAACTTCGAGCTACAGTTTCGACCAGTTTCAGGCGTTTGTACCAAATATATGAAGCGCTGTCAACATTTACCTGAGAAGCTGCAAAACCAATTCCCACGTTTTTGTCCACGATCGCGTTGTGAAGAGAGATAGGTCCGCTACCCTGGGTCCGCGCGCGCGCGCCTTGCTGGCTCCCGGCCTGCCCTAGATTTAGGCGCGCGCGCGGACCCAGGGCAGCTACAAGGCAGTTGCCAGGTATAGCACTTCAATTTCCTTTTCCATCAACCGCTACCGTGACAAACGTGCAGCAATCCACGTACCCAGGGTAGCTACAATTCAGTTACCAGGTATAGCACTTCAAGTTCCCTTTCCGTCAACCGCTCGATAACCTTTAGAAACGTGCGGCAATCCACAACTTTCAAGTCTCATTCGCGCTTTGAACTTTTATAGGTGTGTAAGAGGTATAGCAAAAAAGCATTTATAGGGACCCAGGGTAGCTACAATTCAGTTGCCAGGTCTAGCACGTCAATTTCCCTTTCCGTCAACCGTTACAATTCAATTGCCAGGTGTAGCACTTCAATTTCCCTTTCCGTCAACCGCTAGATAACCTGGAGAAACGTGCAGCAATCCACGGGCTTGAAGTCTCACTCATTAGTGCTTTGAACTTACATAGGTGTGTAAGAGGTTATGCATTCACAGCTGCACGAAGCTACAACACATCGGCCTCGGTAAAACTACACCTTACCATGCAGATGATGCAAATGAAGAAAGTTGCATTTCTTACATCACCAGCCGCTCAAAAATCACAAAAGATCCTTGCTTCCGTGCACCCCTAAACAGCTTTCTCGGGCCACCCCCCCCCAGACCCCCTAAGTACTTACTCACTTCGTTCGCCAAACACAACTCAGCTGGCGCCTTCTACGAAGGCTGGCTTTCGTAATTATGCGTGGCCGTTGCATCCTCAAATTTGTCAGTCCCCTATCGTTTCCCAGGGTTTGGAGCGCGCCCGCATATGAATGCGACACTCGAGAGTGCAATTGTAAGTCATCCCGCGTTTGTTCGTCCTGGTACAAGCGTTTGGCCAAGGCCTCGATGCAGTCGGGATGTTGCACCTGGCCAGATGAATTCACCGCTGCGTGGCTGGATGAACCCGTGGCCGGTGGGACAGTTCCATGTCCAATCTAACACCTTCATTGGAAGTTTTTAGGAACATTCGAGGGGAATCCATGGTGTCCCCAACCTGTTGACAATGAGACTGCGCCAAATTGGTGGTTCATTTCACCTCGCTCACTGAACGTGTTGGGACAAACCTTGAATTGAAACACAGCTGCCTGAAATCATTACCGAGCGACCACTCATGAAATCAACAGTCCTCACGGCCCTCAATCCATAAGTCGACGACACCCGTGCCTGCCACAGCAACAGCAATATCGGTGCCAGCAAGGATGCCCGCGCCAACCAAGCGCAATCATAAACGAAAGCCGCGGAGGCCAATGCCAAGCAAAAGCAACTGAGGCTTTGCAGTTGGCTGATCTGCAGGGAGGCGATGCATTTAACAGGGCCGGGTATGCTTACAATGGTCTGATCATATTATCGTAGGCTATGCCGCAATGCTTCAGAAGTTGCCGGGTTGGAAGGTTTTGCAACGATATCACTGCGGCTGTCTCATAGCCTTGCTGCTTTGGTGGGAGCAATCATTGCTGTCTCCCAGCCAGTCCCCATATTGATCACTCCTGTGTTCTATTCCCAACAAGTACTGGCACATCTCCCAAACGCCCTGGGATGAAGGAAAGCGCTTTGATACTAAATCTGTGCGTTCATAAGTCAGATCCCATCACGTATGATCTGTTGCATCGCTTAGTCCTGCTTCAATTTAAGAATCCAGTTTCGTCCTTCGGGGCTTCACTCCACTGGGACTTGACCGAGTCCATCTTTCAATGTCACCCATGTCCCTCTGTGGCTGTCGCAGCGTCTCAGCGCCTGCGGTTGCATGTAGGGCTGGGCCACCCCGATCAGCACGGCCATGCCCAAGCTGAAGGCAATGGCCCACTTCCAAGCGTCGGACATCGAGACGCAAGAGACCAGGCCCACGGCAAAAAGCTTCATAGCCACTTCCATCCAAACATCCTCTCAAAAAGCTCAGCCGTAAAAAGACTTAAAATAGAACAGAACAATACACCATACACCCCAAAAAGAAAAAGAGAGAGAGAGAGAGAGTTGGATCCAATCAACTTGCCCATCAAGTGAAGCAGTGTGAAAGCTGGGAGTGGGTTCAATGTATGAAAAGCGAAAAGCTGGCGTTCGCATCTGCGTCACATTTTCATGATCTTTTACATTCAGTCTGCCGGACTCCCCTTTGTAGAGATCTCCCCCAAAAACGGTCTCAAAAGCTCAGAGAACAGAACCACCAAGAACATCCCAAAACCGCCGCGCTCAGCGGCGGGGCGACGCCTGTTTTCCAACTCCACCACCCGCTCCCCTAGCACTTCGCGCGAAGCAGCGAAGCGAAAAGGCCGCGCCGGCGCGACGTGGCGCGGTGAACAGATGCTGACCTGGCAGAGTGTGTACTTGCACAAGAGCGGCTGAGCACCGACCAGGAATCGGTCAGAACTCGCTTGCAAGACCAGCCGCTCCGTCAGCATCTCGGTGATCTTGCGGCTGCGCAGCCTGGATGAAACGAGAAAAAGGAAAAGAAACGAGGCATGTGATTCGCAAACATATACAAATATATATATATATATGTGCGTGTGTTACTGTAATACATGCTTGAAAGAGAGAGAGAGAGAGAGATCAAGTCTAGCAAATACATTGGAAACAAGCAGCAAAAACGAGATAAACAAAAGCAAACACGGGCATCTTGGGTCACCAATCCGGGCCACATGTCCAAGTCCTTGGATGTTTCCACATCAGCAATCAGCTTCGCTGCGCTGAACTTGATCTCTTCCGTCGCTTCGTTGACCTCTGTCGAGGCCAAAGTGACCTTTCCGTCCAGCAACTGGACGTGAATCTTTCCACGGCAATGCACGGCCAAATGAGCCGCTGCCGCGGCCTGGACTGTCAGACCCCGCTGCAGTTGGGCAGTTCGGAGGCCCAGAACCTTCTTGAGAGTGTTCTAGACATCTAAGTATCCTAGCTACTCACAGCGGCGGAAAACACCCACGGATAGATGGATGAAATTCGATGAATCATGATCATCTGGGTCCTGGGTCATCAAATGCTCATGTGACATCGTGTGACTGCAGATAAGCTGCCATTAGGCGGCTTGGAAGCTCTTCTTTCGGCAGTTGCTGCAACCTCAGCATTTGTAGCTGCAGTGAAGTGCGCTGAGGCTCCACTTGGGCTTGTGAGATAAAAAGCCGCGCTTTCTGGAGAGCGAAGTACCTCATTCCGCTGAGAGCGACGATCTTCTTTCAACCACATAGCACAAGTCGTCTGCCCTGAAAAACCTCGTCTCCGCGCCGTCTTGCATCCGCGTTTGGATCCCCCCCCAAACAAACGACCAAGCTGCTGTCGAACCATGAGGCTCGCCTTAGATTCACTGCGTCCCAAAATGGTCCCAACATGTCCCGAGCCCGTCCGCCCCCTTCGCCTTGTGACATCCGAAGCTCACCGAGTTTTGCGGATCAGATTCCACAAAAACGTGTGATGTAGTATGGGTGTGTATGTTCATGACAAAGACCCCGACCCAATGGGTTTTGGATGGTTTCGGTATTTTTTCCCTTTTTGCAGGGAGTCTGCAGGGGAGGTTCTCCTAGTTTTGATACACTGCCATATGTCAGGGTTCTCCTAGGTTGGGCATCAATGAGACCTGACCCAAAGCCGGCCTTGGGGCGCTTCTGATCCGATTCGCAATGTGTTTAAGTACGCCAAAGACGTGTAGAATGCCCCCAGAGGCTTTATTCTTTTGGTACATAACAAAGGGCTTTGTGCGTCAAAGGCTTTGGCATAGGTTTCGGCGATCTGATGTTAAAGAATGTTAAAGATTGGAAAACACATTCAATGCAAGGAGCAACAACACGTCAATTTGAACCGAATGTTTACTGGTCGTTCGCAATGACTTCGTTATCTTCGCTGTCGCGCGAACAACCAAAGCAGATTGCAGCACAGAAATACTTCGAACTTCGGCGCCCTAAAACATGCGTTCGTCATTGCATCAGGGGCGCCAAAAAGAGAGGCACAAGGACACCATAGGCCACGGCAGAGCTGTAGCCCACTGCATCAACCCAAAAAGCTAGGCCGTCTTGCTTCGAGCAGCGGAACTCCGGAAAGGCTTTCCGAAACGCCCAGTGCTCCAGGCGTTCGCCATCTGAAGCAGCGACGAGATCGGGAGAGATCGGGAGACGGTGGAGGCTTCGGACGAGGCGGGAGGCGTGCGACATCTGTGTTTTGTTGGTAGATCGTGTTCAGTAAGAACTTGCTGTGGGTGACAGGGAAGTTAGGAAAACGTTGAATTGCTTTGCATCGTTTTATTCTCACAGATCCACCCTTTTTGTTTCCCCTTGTCTTACATCCCTGGCTGATGTCTTCAACGACCGGTGGGCGTTTGGAGGTGTCTCCACCGGTCGTCTGTTCCGGGCGACGGTCAACAGGGGGGGACAGACGGAGCGCGGAGGGGCGCAGGAATGCGCAGGAGGGTCGGGCTGTGTATGTCGTAGTATACTTTTACATTCAAATACTAAAATACATGTTGGGAAGGCATTAAGAAACAACATGAAATAGCTCCCACTGAGCACCTCCATCCTCATATTGGCAGCTCAGTAGTTCTGCAGTACTCGAAGCACCACCAATGAAGAGGACTGTTAGGATTTTCAATGCCATGCTGACCTTATTGTGCTTCACAGGACCAGATGCTTGCTTTCCGATCAACACGCAGGATTTTAATTAATGTGCACTACGAAATTCCAGTGCTCATCACAAAGTGCTCAAAGCTTGGCATTCTCTTATGTTCTCTTGCCAAGTTGACGCCAAAGCCAGGGCGGTAAAGCTCCAGCACAGGGCAGCAAAGAAGCCTCACACGTGTCTTGATCACAGGAGGCTGCCCGGTCTGCCGACATGATCCGAGATGGTGCAGGAAATGATGCACTAGGAACCGAATGGGTATGGGGTATGTACTAAGATGGGCAGACCTCCCAGCTCGCCTATTTCAAAGTCACACACCGAAATGATCAGGAAGTCAGGCAGCCACACTCCGACTCCGTTGAACCAGGTGGCAACAGCAGTGGAGCCAAGGGAGAGCTGAGGGCAGCCAGTGTGCGGACCGTCTGAGGATCGAAGGTGCATTGCAAATTGAGAGAATTCTGCAGCTCCGTCGTGGTCAGTTGCAAAGCTTCCTCGAAGAGGTTCCAAAGGGTTTCAAACAGCTTAGGTACTGTAATTGTTTTTACTGGTATATTTACTTAAAGCTCTGTAAAGCCAGCCCAAGGTTGAGCCAGCTTGTATAGATATAGAACAAGTTCAACTTAGCTATGGACTGCTTCAAAACCATTATATACAAGACGGATCACGTATGTGATGAGGTCGTGTTTCAGCTCCCACAGAGTGCAAGGCCTCAAAAATGCTTCGTTTGTCAAGTGTCCAAGTACGGGACTTCTACAAGGCCTTCACCCAGGCTGGTTCCCAGGCGGGTTCCCAGGTGGCTTAGAACACCCCAGAGCTGCGCCGTCTGTAGCAAGACAGGGCCCTGCAAGCTGATGAGCTTCTGCAACAGGCTCTTGGCCTGGGCGTTGTTGCAAAAACTGCAGATCCTGGTGATGGAAAAAGCGGGTCTTTTCCATCTTTTCCGGAATCCCTTGTAACTTGTACCTTCCTGGAGCTCTGCGAGCTACATCTCTGTGGAGACTAAACCACAGGAACGACCCTGACCTCGCAACACCGACTGCTAAGTGCCACGAGCCACGCTGGGTGGGGGCGGGGACTGCCCAGGCGGCTGCGGCACTCCATATATCCAACGATAGCCGAAGAAAGCTGCCAAGGCGAATGCAGCTGCAATTCCAAGTCCAGCCAGTGACCAAATTGATGCTGAGCTGGCTGCTGCACAGGGCCTCGCTCGGCCAATCTTGTTGCTCTGTGGAACAGGTGACAGAGCTTTCTAAGTCATGGAAAGAAGGGTTTCGTACATGAATACAGTACGACTACTAGTGCCACTGATCGTTTCATTGAATTGCAGCTTTGGCATTCTGCCACAATCTTGTTGCTATGTTTTGCTTACTAAGTTTAGCAAGCTAAAGTCAGTTTGTATGATTTTGAAAGCATATTTTAAGTTCTTGCGGGTGTTTTCATTTGCTGCACAGCCCACTACCAATTTTGGTTTTCTGAAACAACAACAATGGGCGGAATTCCTCAACCATTTGCGCCGAACGTGTTGGGTAAGCAAATTCAAACTCGTAGTGCCCCCAAAATAGATCAAACAGAATATCCACAATCCATTCAAATAATGGCCTCGAATGCTTGAAACTCTACTTGGGCACCTCGTGTCATGTGTCAGCACGCCCTCCAAGCGGCTGGCACCGGCCTTTGGTGGCCCAAAAGCCTTCGGCGCACCGGGCGCAAAGGGTCCCATCGTAGCCGGAGCCACAGTGGACCGCCACGGTGGCGGCGCCAGGGCAGCGCCGGAAGGCCTCAGGCGGAAGGCATCGGTGAGCCTCTTCGGAGTGGTCCTCGAGGCGGGTGTAGTTCACTTCGGGTGTGGCTTCAGATGCGAGATGTCCAGTGCCATTGCATTGCAAGTGCAGTCGAGCACACGGAACACAACTACTTCCCTGCAATGCCTGGTGAACATCACATCCACAGCGGCCGTTCGCTTGGAGACTTCCGAAGCTGCATTGACAATCTGACTCCTTGGTGGAGCCTACAGGCGATGTGCTATTGGCTGGACAGGTGGAGCAAGCGGTTTGCCCCATCTGCTCACTGAAGGTACCCTGCGGGCAACGTATGCAGGCTGCCCCTGTTCCATGCCATCCGGGAACACATCGACATAGCCGATCAGGCAAGAATTTGGAGGGCGTCACTTGCAAGGTTCCTTCAACCAGTTCTCTACAGGCAAATCCTGCCTGGTCGTCTCGGAAATCGAAGCTTTCCGTGCACTTCATGATACCTTCCGTCAGCAGTTCCAAGGCCCCTTCTTGGTTCTCCAACTCTGACCACCTCATGTCCAGCATCACTTGCCAGCCCACAGCTGCGGCTAAGAAGTTTCGCCTCCGAAAAACCACGCGATGGCACGAGTTTTCTTCGTGCGATGTCACGAGCATTGAACCCAAAAGACCAGGGTCTCAGCAGCAATAAGGTTTTGTTATCCTTTATTATCTATATCTCTTTATTGTCGTTTTATAAGTTGTTTCTTCTTGTAACTGTTGTGCAATTTCAAATCCCTGGCGCGACAGTATATGGTGACTCTTGATGATGATGCAGTTTCGGATGCTAACACGATGAAAGCCCCAGCCCACTTCTTGATCCAGCTTATTACACCAGCCAATAGCTTGCATGATCTTACATGTCACCTCCAATCCTCACAGTCACCGACCTTCGCAACCCATCAGGCCCAGCCACCCGAGACGGAGCCCATGGATGCCCCGCAGAAGCACGCGGGATCCAACGGCAAAGGGCGGCTCCGCAATGGTCACCAGGTTTTCAGAGAAGTCCAAAATGCGTAGAGTATGGTAGAAAGGCAATCTGAAAGGCACCTCTTGCAAGTAGCAAGCCTTGTCAGCACTGACATAATGGGTGCACACACGGCCTTGCAATTTAGGGACTTCCCCGAAAAGGCCAGCGCTTGCAGCTTTGATGACAGTGAGAGAGGACATTGCCAAGGGCATCAGCAAAGCCTCCATGCTGCTGTTCACGGGACCTTGTAGTCTTCGCTGGATCCGACAAAAAACACAAACCGTCTTTGTGAGTCTATGTCATATGAATGTTTATGTAACTGTCGAAGGGGTGTCACCGACACGACATGTTCGCGACCATCGCGCAACCTTTCTTTCAAACTGCAGAGACCCTTGTGCCTAAACGGTTGTAGGCGAACTGAAGTGAGCGACATGCGGGCTTCAACGGACACAGAATAACATTTCGTCAACATTCCTTAAAAATCCTCCACCCTCTTTCATGCCCTCTGCATACCTTTCAAAGGTAAAGACAAAAAGCCTTTTGCCACGGTCTCCCACCAATCGTCGGCTTTGAGCTGCTTCGTTAAAATGTCAGCCAGTTGTTCACCGGTGGGGAGCCAGTGGATAGGCGGCTTCAGAGGCTTCTGAGGCGTCGGGCGTTCTTCACCAGGATTTGTTTTGATCCACTGGTGGTGCTTCATTTTTTCAAACCCTGCCTCAAGCCAGCAAGATCGATTGCTAAGCGATTCTCACTTGGGGCCCGTGGTATTCCTTCACGGTGCACATGGTCATAGAGGCTTCGGCAATCGGTGATGAGGTGGACGTCCATGTACTTTCCAGCTTGTCCTTCTGTGATCCTCCGTCCCAGCCGGAAAGACAAGAACAAGCTTCGCAAGAACATGCAGTTCTCAAAGGCTTCGCAACCAGCCATAGTTTCTCCTGCAAAGGTTGACCGGCACACTCTGTGGGATGCCTTGCTCTTCCAGTCAACCACACTGAAGGGGCCTCCATCATTGGACAGGCAGTTGACGCTGGCCATGAGGATGATGTTGGCCGGCTGCGAGGCAATAGTGTGGTTGCCATACCACTCCAAGTCCTCTTTCTCTTCATCATCAGGACTAACATTTCCCCAGGCAGCGTCATGGTATGCAATGAAGCGCGTTTCATCTTCGGGAATCTTCTTGAGGGTGATGCCCTTGTCCTTGTGCTTCTCGCTCATGCCCACCACTTTGTTGGTAGCTCGTAAGTCGGCCACCGTTGGATTCTGCTGTCTTCGTTGGGCCTGGCATACTGAGAACTGCAGGTCTGGCCTGGTCTGCTGGCCAACCACGACAAGCATCCAATGGCTGTCCTGTTTTCTTCTCTTTGCTCTGGGGATGCTTCAGCCTCATCTTGGTCTCCCGGCTTGATGGTCACCTTCTCGACTCTGTTGTTGGAGTAGACTTTCTGGCTGATCTTGACAGCGTCCCCTTGACATTCATATTCACATCCGACATACTCGAAGGAGTCATTCTCCCACTCGTCGATGGGGAACTGTGCTTTAATCTTTTCCTGCAGGAGGTCCAGCAAAGGTGCTTCTGCCATGAGCATGATGTCGTCGACGTGAGTGAGCAAGAGAGCTCGTGTGTCTCCGCCGCCTCCTGACAACATAAAGACACAGGGGTCGATCTCATTCTGCCGGAAGTTCATCTTGTCTCCCCCGTACTCTATCTCCATCTCGCACAGATCGGCTGACAGCTTCATCCACCATAATTTGGGATTGGTGGAAAGTCCAAACACGCCCTTGAGCACCTCGATGAGCTGTCCTAGCACAAGGGATGGAATGCCTCTCTTTGGTTGCCTGAAGTAGAGGTTTCTTGGAGCCGGCAAGCCATTGAGAAAAGCAGCTCGGATGTCACCGACTCCTATCCTCCAGCCTCGAGCAAGCGCCAATTGCAGTGCCAGAATGATAGAGTGCCGTGAGACGGTCGGAGCATCAGTTGACATCTCTACCTTTCCAAGATCAGGATCTCGTTGCCCAGCAATGCAAAGTCTTGCTTTGGCTTTGGCAGGCAACTTCTTGTCCATCCGGACCTTTGCCCCGTTCTTGTCCCTGTAGAGGAATCGGCAATCCAGAATCCGGTTGGATTTGACCGTTCTTGTCTTTCAACGAGAGAGGTCGAACGGCTTGATATTGGACATGCTCATCCCATTGTTTCTTCTCTGCTTCGATGTAGAGGTGTCGTTCTTCTTCCGGGATGGCTTCCCAAGGTATTTCTTTGTCAAGTTGCTTCTCCTGTCCCCTCAAAGAGATGGCCCGCTTCACCGTGAAGGGTTGATGTACTCGAGATTTCTTTATCGAGATCGGGACATCATCGAGCACGTGGGCTTTCCTTGCTTCGCTCTGGATAGACCTGGCTCTTTGCCCTGCAGGATCAACTTCTTCCTCCACTAGCATCTCCACTTGTCCGTGTCCGGCAACTTCTTGAGGATCTTCGTTCAAGCCGTCGGGCATGAATTCGTCGAAAGAATCTCCTTCGTCCTCCTTCAGCAATTGTTTCACTTCTCTCATGGCCATCTTCAGGCGCAGCCCTTCGTTCACTTCTTCTGGTTTGGCCTCACGAAGGTGTTCAGGAGCACATAGGAGACATCGACCTCCCCTTGCCAACCAGTAGTTTTGTCCCTCTCTGCCTATCGCGGTGCAAGGACCCACCCGCCGGACCTTCTTGTTGGACTCGCGGTAGGCATAGACAAGTTCACCAGGTTCGAAAGATCTTTCTTCAACTCTTGCTTTGTGAGCGATGGCCCGTTCCAATGCGTGCTTAGTCTGGCACTGATAGAAAGCAGCTCTGGCGGCCATCCGGATCTGGTGTCTTCGTCCGGCCTTCCCATCCACCGTGATGTGTTCCAACGAGCTGATCTCATCCTCATTGTCGAACATGTCTCCGGAAGCTCTTTCACTCGAGCCAAAGACCCATTGTGGGGGGTGAGTAGCCACTGCGATTCCTCAACTGGTTCTTGGAGTCCGAAGTGGCTGCCATTGCCTCTGCCACCTCACGGTCCATGATGGCGTGATCTTCTACCACCTTGTTCCAAATGGCCTTCCACGCACCTCCATGACGCTCAGCTATCCCGTTCTGCCAATGGGCTTGACCAGCGGCACATTTCACCAGGACGCTCCTCTCATTCATGATTGGGAGGAAGTGGTCTTTGAAGGCTGAGTGCAAATCGCGCAACAAGATTTTGGGCGCACCCGCCCAACTCAGCCAACTGTCCACGAGCGCTTTACCCACCTCCTCCGAAGACGTGCCAGTCAAAGGAACCACCGCCTGGTACGTGGAGGCCACGTCGACAATGTTCAGCGCCGGCAATCTAGTACTCACAGCAGTATCGACCCAAAGAATGTCCAAGGCGATGACCTCATTGAAGTCCAATGCGACAGCAGGATGAGAGGGCCGAGCCAGTTTTGCCTTGTTGCTCTTCTCACAAGTGCGACAGCACAATTGTTCAGCTCCTCTCACAATTGATTCCGGGGCACGGCGCAAACGAAGGTGTCGTATCAATTGCTTTTGAGGAGGATGGCGCAAATTTTGGTGAAGTCGTTTCAAGACCGCTGCAACAGCAGGTTTCACCTTCCCTTTGAAGTGTATGGCTTCGGCTCCCCGGGGTTCAGCCTCCAAGACCGACGGATCTCCTGCCACAGTATGTGTAGGATAGTTCACGGAGACCTTTTTCGATGATCGTTCGAAAGCCTTGACCACGGCCTTGGCGAACTCTGAAGGGTAGGCAGCTGAAGCCGCTGTGTCAGGTCGTTGTATCGGACGGTGATCGTGTCCACCTCGACATTTTTGCGAGATTTCCTCTGCAAACAAAGGGTTGTTGGTGAGCAAGGCCAAAGGCTTCTTCAAAGGTCGCCCATCTACTGTGCTGATTAGTCCATAGCGGCAAAGGTCCAAGTCAGCAAAGCAAACGTTGGGCTCGTCCAACAGATGTCAGAGAGGCGAGTCTCTCCATATGGCACTTCCTCGGGGATTTTCCACCACTGCAGTCCCGCCCAGCTGCTGTTGTAGTGCGAACACCCGCATGACAAATGACACGAGGTTCCTCTCCTTTTGTCGCTTCCTTCGCAGCTCTTGGGGCGTGTAGTTGAGGTGGCTGAACTGACACTATGCCGGGCAAGGGGGAGCCAACCAAATCATACGAGGACGGTGTTCCCAAATGTCTTCAATGACTTCTTCTTGAACTCTTCCACAGCGAAGATCATGATCATATAGAAGATCTCGTGGTTCCAAGACCCCCTTTTGTTTCCTTGCAAAAGCGGCCGAGATGTTGGCCTTGCCAGCAAACAACTCCAAGAAATCTGCCCTGTCTGTCTCCTCTGGCCATTGATGGGCAGGTTGTAGTACTGCCCAGGCATCCCAGAGCGGATCAGCCATGGCCTCTTTCGCCCATTGTCCCACAGCCACTGAGACCGTAGCCATGATGGAAAATAGACTTTGGGCGCCATCCAAGATTCGCTTCTTGACATCTCATCCAAACCGTGGGAGGTGTCCAGGTTGTTGTTGGCGCCAGCGTTATACTCAATCTCTTCACGTTGATTTGCCCTGGTGTCATAGGAAGCCTCTTCCCCTGTTGCGTCCAAGCCATAGACGCCGTCAGGGATATTGTTGGCACCGGAGTCATATTCAATCTCGCCTGCCCTGACAGAGTCCTCCACAAACTCTGTCATCATGACTTCGTCTCCCTCCTGGATGTAGTCTTCATTGGGATCCCAGGAGGGCATTTCACCCCTCACTTCTTCACCAGGTGTGCCTTCTTCTTCAGTGCAACCAACTGCGACTCCAGGGCGGTGATCCGGTCCGCGTGGTTCTTGAGGGCGTCGTCCGCCATGTCCGTGTCCGGGGGCACGCTCTCCGCTTTGCGAACCGGTGTCCCCTTTCGATAACCGCCTCAGCCTCCGGAGACCTTCGACCATGATGCCTCCGATGAACTGGACATTCCCTTCTCGAGTGTTGTCGCTGGCAGAGGGACCACTGCCAGCGCCTCGGGATCCCTCCCAAGATCCGTCTTCGCAGCCATGCCCAGCGATGTTGCCCTCCTTTCGATCTCCTGCGACCCCAGGCGCACCAAGTCCTCGTGCGCTTTCGGGTTCTGCTTGATCTCCTTGATGGCCCATTGGATGTAGCCCATGGGGACCTCGTGGTACATCCATCCCTTGTACCTGCCGAATGGCACCACCGTGTTGGATGGGGTCGTCCGAGAATCCCTCAGCAACCGCATGAGAAGACCTCGGGTTGGCTTCGCAGGCATTGGGATGTGGCCCTTCTCGGCTTCTGCAATCAACTGGGCAAGGGTCATCTTGGTCAAGCCCTTCATGCGGTCTTCCTCTTGAGACGGTTTCTCCAGCTGACGTTGTTCCACCAAGATCGAACGTAGCTCCGGCACGGTCCATGACGGGTGGACAGTGATGCCTCTCTCCGTCAGCTCTGCAATGAGCTGTGCCTTCTTCATGTTCCATGGCGAAGTGGACAAAGTGGGCATCCGCTGAGCTGGTGTGGCCTTCAGCTGTGGCGGAACGTCGATCGTTCACCTTGAGCTTTGGAAAGCGGCTGCGACCAATCCAAGGATGACGCAAGACCTTCTTCTCACCCTCGGACATGTGATCTTGAAGTGACATCATGGACGTTCCATCAGCTAAACAGGACAAAGCTTCTGTGGTTCGTGATCCATCTAATCTCTTCATGAGCACCTCTTTCAAACCAATCAGTTTCGTTTGCCATGAGGACGGATCAAAAGTGGTTTGACGTGGTACGACATGAACTCGAATGAAAGCTTCCGACGTTTCGATCCAAAAGTCCCGAGATAGTTTGGCCTTCTCCCACCATCCAAAAAAACCAGCTCCCCCCAGTGTGTCATCTCCAGAAAGCATCAAATTGACTTCACGAGGGAGAAGTTTGGGTAACTTTGGGATAGAACAAAGGTTTCAAAGGCACGCTGAGCGATGAAGACTGCGCACTCATGTATGCTCCCTCGGACGGCAAGTATTAGAGATCAACAGCGCCTGTCTCGGGCACTTCGGAGGGCGCCTACCTTGCAAATCATTCACCGTCAAAGCAGGATGGCCCGTCGGGCTTGTCCGCAAGGGCACGTCAGAGAGGTTCAAAGCTTTCAGCTGTACTCTCTCTTTGGCTAAATTACTGGCCTGCTGAAAAGAAGTGGCACTGTGCAAGGAACTATGGCCACCTCAGTCATGAACCAGCGTCCGCGAATCGCGAACCAAGCTCGCACTCCGAAGCTCGAGGCGTGAACTCGGGACGCTCCAAAACGAAAGAATTCTTCGCGGTTGTAAATGATCAAAGGAAAATCAAGGGCTTCACACATGTCGCTGAACTTCTCAAACCATGGGTGGCCGGCCACGGTCTTCGTACACGCCGTGTCCACGATCGCAAGCAAGTCACCCGCCAAGAAGTCAGCGGCCTTGTCCTCTTCGATGGCAGTCACATAGCACGAATGCGCCGTGTCGCACATCTGTGCGGTGTGAATCGTCATTTGAGCTTCTTGGGATCGTTCTGGTGCATCTGAACGACGGCCACGAAGAGGGCATTCTGGGTCCTTATGCCAGTGTCCTTTGCGCTTGCAGGCAGAACAAAATGAACGCTGCTTTGCTAACTTTAAGCGTTCTTCAGAACGCTTCTTCACTTCATCCATGTCGACACCACGGCCTTTCAAGGCCTCTCTCAATTTGGATTTTGCATTCTGGTAGGTCATGTAGGCCTCATGAGCTTGCTCCGCAATCTCCTCAGCCACGAGCCCATCCTCCTCGTCATTGGGTTCAGCCTCACTAGACTCCTCAACCAAGTCGGTCATGTGGACCGAGTGGCGACTGCCTTGCCAGCGCCGCCCTTCTGTCTTCCAACCCCGCTCGGCAGTTGCACCGGTGGGCCGTCGCAACGAACGATCCTGGATCAGGGCGGCCTGTTGCAGTTTGGAGCAGTCAAACTTGTTGTTCACACTAGAGAGGAGGGTCAGCTCTTCGGTTTCGGACAACTTCAACTTGTCCAAATACAACCATCCTTCCTGAAGCATCGGTTGCAATCACGCGATCCAGATAAGTCGCTCTGAGGTTGACGACGGCCAAGGGAGCGAGCACTACTAGCGCAGCCATCTCTGAAATCAACTCAGTGGAAAGTCTAACCACCGCTTTCTGGTCTGCAATGCAAAGCGGCTCGAAGATGACGTCCAGGCAGCAGAACATTCGCCTGCGAACTCCATACAGCGACACCCACGAACCAGCTAAAGCCTCCAGCAATCCAACGGTGGCTAATCCCAAGGAAACGACTCGCATGGTGATGAAAGCCACAGGCCACAGTCTCAGCGACGAGCTCCGCAGCAACCCTTTTTCCCCATCAATTTCCAGTCCCCAAAAACGAGAACACAACTGCTTCTTGAACGTCTTGCCGGGGTTGTGTATCAATCCAGTGGCCTCATAGGCTAGCTCAGCTTTTCGAACTCTGCGGTCGGATTCGATTTCGGTCTCAGTGAACGGCAGGCCTCCCACCACTTGCTCCACAAAGATCAAATCGTCGACTATTATACCGACTTGCAGCAGACCTCGAGGCAGTGAACCATGCAGGGTAATCAACTCCTCAACCGTGGCTATCCCATGCTGCAGGCAAAGACCTATGTGGCTTGCTTGAGCGAACTCCACAGCCATGGTGTCTCCCATGGCCAAGGTCGAGAGTCTCTCACCGATTGATCCTGCCTACGGCGGCACTTCTTGAACAAGTCGTTCATCATGTTCGAGACCTTGGTGATTTCGATCTCCATGAACCTGGTCTGGATCCATTCGAGGTAGTAGGATACTCCATTCTCCGAGGCCAAGATGTCCACATCTAGCTCCTCTGCATAGACCCAGGCTCGACCCGACAGCTCATTGTATAAAGCCAAGGCACGTTGGACCGGAGGCATCCGAGTGCAGCGCAACCAAACCTGGACCTTGCGAACATAGGAACGAGCTGTTCTTCCAACGTCTGAATCGCCCGAGGCCTCCCCATCAAAGGAGGGAACCACCAGCTTCTCGCTGGCCTTTCCTCTATTGGAGTCATGAGTTGACCAACCTTCCCAATCTTGGGGCTCATGCCATGCACCGCTAGCCCCACCAACCTTCTCATCATAGGAACCAGACCAACGGCCATTCACCAATGCTGTTGTCTGTCGGATTTGGGCAGTGTTGAAATCACGCATTTGGGCATCACTCAACCAACCATCTGCCCCCACTTCGTGGCTCCGCACCGGAGCCAACACCAGCCCAGGGGTCAGCTGCAGCTTCCCACGGATCCTGCGACCATGCTTGCTCCTCCCAGTCCCCATCATTCCACTCCCAGCGAGAATTGGACGGGGTTGTCCAAGCACCTAAGTCGTTGGGATCACTCCCAGGAAAAACAGCTTCCCTCGGCTGGAGGGAGGTGTCCACCATCAAAGGCCTCCAACCTGGTGTAGGCCTCCATGAAGCCAGGGCCCCGATCGAACCAAACGCTCCGCGGCACCAATGTCGAAGGGGTGTCACCGACACGACATGTTCGCGACCATCGCGCAACCTTTCTTTCAAACTGCAGAGACCCTTGTGCCTAAACGGTTGTAGGCGAACTGAAGTGAGCGACATGCGGGCTTCAACGGACACAGAATGGCATTTCGTCAACAATAACTATATAATTATGATGTTTATTATCTCCAAACTAAACAAATGCAATCATTGGACCGACACCATAGACACGGGGCAGCCACTGAGCTCCAGGTTCACCAAATTGGGCAGAATTTGTTTCTCTTGGTACTCCCTGGCCCAGTGCTCCTTCAGCTGCGTCAGCTGCCCCTCCCTGGGTGCGAAGTGCACGGCGGAGTGGGAGAGCTTCAAGGTGTGAAGGTGTTTCAGTTTGCCTCTCCAAGCCTCCGTGAGGCCGCCAGTGACCTCCGTCTTCGACAAATCCGCCTCTTCGAGGATCTCCAACTGCACTAATGTGCTCAGATCGCCCGTCACCTGCGTGGAGCCTAACGACAAGCGGCGCAAGTTCAGGAAGCTGAAGGCCTGAACGAAAGGCCCCAAGTTTCCCCAAACCTTGGTCCTTTGCAGGAGTAAGACTTGAAGTGCTCCACAGGACTTCAAGACTTCGATCTTCCCTCTTACACCCGTGCTGCCCAAGTGCAATTCAGTGAGACCCGGCGTGGCATCGAACGTCTGAAGATCTCCTGTGACCTGTGTACCTTCCAAATGCAGATGTCCAAGGCCAGGTGTTGCTCGAAATGTCTCCACGCGACCCGTGACGCGGGTTTGTGTCAAAGACAAATGGATCAGCTTTGGTGTTGAGACAAAGGTGTCGATGTCTCCTGACACCTCTGTATTCTGAAGACTCACATGAGCCAGGAAAGGCGTTGCGCGGAAGGCGTCAATGCGACCTCCGACGTGGGTGTTGCCCATGGATAGACGGTGCAGTAAAGGTGTTGAGCTGAAGACTGCGATGTCTCCATCCACCTTGGTGTTACCCAAGTACACGTCCTGCAGCTGCTGCAGGTTCCGGAAGGCCTCGATGTTGCCACTGAGGTTCTGGGAGGTCAACATGACCTTGAGAGGTCGCTTGAGGTGGAATGTTGAGTGTGACGCACATCTACTACAGCATACATTACAACATTAGGAAGGTCATTATTGCTTTACACATGTAGTGAATAAATGGAGTGAGTTCTTCTTCGTTTGACAGACTTGGAATAAACATGACAAGCTCAGCTCAGCTGCTTTCTGCAGGTCTTGCAAATCGATATGCTGTGGCAGGCGTCCGGCGCACTGGTCGCAGTGAAGCCTGATGACCATACAGCTGTCTCGGCATGTGATGCCAGGCCAGCTGCAATGGTCTTTGCTGTCCAATTCACCTGCCAAAGATGGAATGAGCTGTATCCGGCCTCGATTTTCCCCAAATGGCCCTGGATTTTCTACTTCGAACCTGTCACAAGTTGCAGAAGTAAACGGTAGCAACTCACCTCCTTTGAGTATAATATGGTCTTGTTGCTTTTCGGTGGAAGTCTGTGACACTCTTCGCAAGAGATTGTCTTGGCACTTCTTCTTATTTTCTGACCTCGTCAACCCTATGGTGGCCTACGAAACCCAACTCTTGCAGCAGCCGGCGCGTCTCGTTGGCTTCCTTCTCGCACTCTGGACCTTTCAGAACAGTCGAAAAGGCACAGCATATCGCGGTGTCCCAACTATCTGGAGGGGAACAGATTGGGATTCCTGTCAACATTTACAAACTCATTCCACTCACAAAAGATCGCCAAGGTCAGATTGCACAAATAATACAAACTTCGCCTCTGCTTTGCTCCGTCTTCCCTTCACCTGGGGCGGAGTGCCGCGTGATTGTGGCGGTGCTTGAGCGAGAAAAACCTCAGCCTGCTCTAGCTAAGTGCCTTCACCCAACAACCATGCAACCATGTCACCACCAAGATGTTGCTCTCTTGTTTTTCGTTGATCCAAGGTTTGCTGTGGATCAGCAAAGAAGAAGTGTTGATGGTATGGATCTGCCTGAATCGTCTTCAGCAAGATCATCGTCGGTGTCAAAGTCCCAGTCCCAGCTTTCAACACCTGCCCCAAACCATCAATTCTTCAGAACTGATTTACATGAAGGACAGACTGTAGGAGCGTATTATGGGTTGCACAGCACGTCCTCTGAAAGCGTGCAACGTCATTGCAAGAAGAGAAAAGGACATAGAAAGAACCGAGCCCTTAAAGTTAGGCTTGTTAGATGGCATGGAAGTGGCCTAAACCACAAGAGGATATAAGAGGATGGCATATCATAGGGTCCCTCCTCATGCCATTGACTCGTTGTCCCCTTTACCAAAAATCTGATGCGGATCCGTCTCTCTGATGCCTCGCCTTTCTCATCCAGCAGCAGGCTGGAAGGAGAGACACCCTCCCTCAACGCCAACACTCGTTTCGCGCACCACAGCAGAAAGAGGAGCGCCATGAACGAAAATCTTCCCATGGCTTCGATCGTCCCAGGGCAGCTCTGTGGTTAAGCTCCCCGGGCACAGTGGATATGGACATCTTTGGCATACTGACACGGGGATATCTATATCCCCCTCGAGCACAACGGCAGGTGTTTCACCGTTTTTTCCCCCCGAAGGGCGTTATATATCAAGTGAGACAGATTGTTCCCTGATTGGAAGTGAAGTGCTTTGAAGTGAAACATGTACCCCAAGGACTCGGCACCAGTGCCACCAGTCCTGGGACATATTTTCCGGACTCGGCTCCGGACTGGAGATAGTCCATCCATTTTTGATTGACTGGAGAAATCCTTTTTCATTGTATGTGAAACATACCATGGAGAAGTCTTTTGGGATAGCCCATGTCTTGGCGTCTTTAGAACTGCGTTTCTTTCAATATACCGACGGTGCTATGGGCCGTGTCCCTCGCCTCGGCCGAGGCACTGCTGCGGCACTCTGCTCAGCCGTCGTGTCCTGGTCACGGCAAACAAAAGCGTTGGGGTCTAGCATGATGAGAAAAGGGCGTCAACATTCATTCCATTCCAAACCCTTTCAGCAGCCTGCTTCTAGGTAGAGCTTGACTCAAGAGGCATCAAATCAAAAGAGCGAAAACGGAAAGCACTTGTGGAAGCAAAGGAACACCCCAGCTCTCTCCCAAGAGCGTCCAAATTTGACGAAGACGTCTTCGTGGCCAATCCAATTCGGATCCAAGGCGACACATCTGGATCCCACCGGGCCCACCCCAATCCATCCTCTGAGGGCACAAACATCGCTGCATCAAAACAGATGGTGCACGCACTGACAGCCTTTTGAGGAAGTTCCCAACCCGGCAGTCTCCCACCGTTGGCTAAAATGTCAGGTGCTTCCTTACGCTTGAAGTCCTTGTTCGTAAACTGAAAGTGAAGTAACCAAATCAAGATGGAGATGAGCGTTTTGGCATCCGAACACAGAACAGTTTTGAGTAACAAGATCTAAGTACAGGTGCTATTGAAGGTGACAAGCTTGGATGGAATTGGTACCCAATGTACACGATGTGCTTCGATACGCCCTACCAGTACTGGCTGCAGGAATTACCGTACATTAGCAAAAGAGAAGTTTGAACGAAGAAATACGACTAGCACAAAGATCACAAGGGAACGATGTTGCTATACCGACTATCCCTATCCCGGAGGAATGCCCACCTTTGCCGCTGAAGAGCGCCACCACAGCGCCTGGCACAACAGCACCACCAGCCACTCTCAACCCGTTTGAGTCTGAAGCCCCCACCACAGCCGGTCCGGTGTTCAAAGCAGCAACGCGCAGTCATACCCCATACCTGGCTCTCTGAAGGCTTGTGCTGGGTCAAAAGGTTTTTGCCCATTTGGGCGGGCCTTAGTTGAATTGCAAACTCGCAGACCGTGTAGCATGCCCTGGGCCTTACTTGGCCTCACGTGTGGTAAAAAGGTTTTATCACTCCAATTCGCCAGTTCATGGATTTGCCTCAAACACAATAATATGAAACATTATGAAACATCCTCTCCTGAGTTTGGCCACGTTGAAATATATAAGGTCGAGCCAATGTCGCACTTCTTGTGAAAACAATGGACTCCGGAGTGTCGTTGGCTCTCTGCACCGAAAAAACCGTGTGTAAGCTTCTGTTCACCACGAACGAATACAAGCTCTGGTGACGCATTGGACCAAACCGTTTGAGGAAGTGAACTCGTCTGCCACTGATTGGCTTAGCTCAGGGCAGTCTGGGCTGCAGGGCTGCCATGCGGCGAGAAACCTTCACCGCTCAGGTTGGGTGAGATGAACCCACAAGATGCACGGCTAAATTTTTGCATGTGCACTTCTACATATGCAAGATGACCAGCGAGCTGTGGACGTGGATATGTCATAACTTGTGCAAGGTCTCAAGTGGCAGGTAGTAGATGTAGTAGCAATGCAGATGTCTCAAGTGGTAGGAAGCAAATTATGTAGATTTCAACAGAAGAACCCTTCACAGTGCTCCCCGGAAGCTTTTGCAGTAACATTGTGAGCAGGAAGGGAAGCACACGATCAACGTCCTGGCCTTTGGAGGCTTGTCCACGGTCCACAACAGACCTTGCTTCGAAAACGGCTTCGACAACGGTCCAAGTCTTGGACCTGTTCGCGACGCGCCGTGTACAAAGCAGGAAGGGTCCCAAACAGCTTCATGCGGTCTGTCGCTTCTCAGAAGCGCGAGCGCGACAGAAGAAGCACGAGTTCGCACAAGTTCTTCTAGTTGACAGTGTGACACTGTTTCACACTGTTCTCTTTTTGGCGGTGTGAAATGAAGAATAGGTTAGTCAGGGCAAAAGGCTTCCGAGACACAGCATAGCGCCACAAAAGGCTTCCTTGTCGCTCCGCCGCGCCGCTGATGATGTTCACCTCCGGAACGCAACTAAGGGCGTTGTTTGCCGAAACCAATTACTGTAGTTCACATGAAACTAGGGATGAATCAAACTAGTCTTGATGTTAGGTGCGAAACAAATTGACCAAGGACCAAGCAAAAGGGTCGCCATTGTCTGCCCAAACACGTCCTCCGGACCTCGTGAAAATGTTGCTCGCGAGGTGCACGGTACTCATGACGACTGTCGGCTTCAATGCTTCAGCCGCAGCCTCTACGCAGAAACCAACGCGGACATGGGACTGGGAGGCCCCATGGCCTTTATTGAAACACAGAAAAACCAAACCAGAGGCCCCATGACCTGACCTCCCCCTTCCCAACAAAGAAAAGGAGTGCTGAAAAAAGAAGGAAAACACACACTTATATACATACTTTGACTGCTTTTTTTTTTCAGGAGTCGTCTTTCAATCACGTCCCACTCGAGTCCGCGTGTCTCTCCCGCCTGGCGGAGCTGCGGCGCCTCACATCGCGACTCTCCAGGCTCAAGGTGCGGAGCAAGGGCCTCGCGTTCGGCGAAGACGGAGCGTTCGTTCCTTTCGACTGCGAAGACGGAGCGTTCGTTTCGTCCAGTTTCGGATGGGTTTCGGGGGCGCTTGGTGTCCAGTTCGGACGTTTTGAATGGCTTTGGGCATTGTTTTCTTGGGGGGTCCCGAAGAGGTTTTTGAGGGGTGGTAAAATGGCCTTGAATGACTTGGCAAGCAAACTGGGACGGATCAACGACCAGGAGACAAGGAAGGGGGTTTTGGATTCAGGGGAAATTTGACCCGTGTTTCACTGCATTTGGTCCAAGCTTCTCTGAAGAGGTAAGCACAAATGAACCAGATGCATCTGAGGTATCTTCAGAATCCTCAGGCTCAGGTACTTCTGACGGCTCTGTTGGCCCAGTTGACTTTTGGACAGTCTCAAATCTCACCTTCTGCGATCTCATCTGTCTGCGCGTCTCCTCCGCCTGTCCTCTGCTCACATGTTGAGTCCGATTCTGCAATACAAAGTCCACAGTGCTTCTCGATTGCTTCTCATCTTGCAAGAAAAGCCCGGGCCCAGTCGTGTCTTGCTCGCTTTTGATCTCCAGCTTAAACTCCTTGGCCAATTTAGCATATTTGTTGCCAGTGGCCAGTCGCAGTGCCTGGCGAGCATAGGAGTCCTTGGCAAAGGTGGCGCGGTGTTGCCGGAAGAGCTCCTCCGCCATTTGGGCGGCCTCTTTGGACTTGGCAGCAGCACAAGCAGTCAAGAGTGCACGCATGCAGAAGACATCTGAGCTAAACTTGGATTTCTCCATGCGGCCAAGCAGTGCAGCTAATTCTTGAACATGTCCCTCTCGTGCTAGAGCTTTCGCAAAAGCCCGGTAGCTTCCAAGAGTTGGTTTGCCAATCTCCTCCATGTCGGACCAAAGTCTTTTTGCAAAGCCTGCATCACACACAATAGCAGCTGAATTTAGAAGCCCGTTGAAAGTGATGACATCTGGGGATACATCAACACTCCTCATTCGCATCAGCCAGTGCTGCATACGCATGCTGTCTTCCTTCCAATTGGCCATCAAACTGTTGAATCCGACAACCTCTATGTGGGCTCCCTTTCTGGCCAAGCGTGAAAACCAGTACTCGGCCTTGGTGGGGAACTTGGTGCTTGCACATGCGGTCATCATGGCATTGACGGTGTACTCATTTGGCTTGATGGTCTCCAATCGTTCCAGTGTCTTTTCAGCCTCTTTTAGATCGTGGGCATTGCCACAAGCTCTGACCACTGCAGCACAAGTCACCACATCCTCCGGAAGACCTTGAGCTTTCATATTCCCTAGCACTTGATGAATCGCAGGCAGATCTCCTACTTGTGCACAGGAGGAAAGCAAGGAGTAGAACATCCGCGCATCTGGCGACAAAGCTGCATTCCTCGCCCTTTCCATCCAAAGAAGGGAGCGTTGCATGTCCGGAATCCGCGCGGCTGCTTTCACCAAGGCTCCGAACGCCAGAAGGTCCGGCATCTCTGCTTTGCGAACCATTTCTTTGAAAATGCCTTCTGCCAGAGCAAGCTGCCGGGCAGAGGCATACAAGTTCAGCAGAGTATTAAAAATCGCTCGGTTTGGCTCCACATCCATCTCCTGCATCTTCTTCAGAAAGTGTCCAGCCAGAGCCACAGAATGGTCCTTTTCGCAGCTTCGCAAAATGGTGCTGAAGGTGACTTGATTCGGAGACACAGAGGTCTGCTGCATGTTCTCCAGCCACTCCTGCAGCAACTGCGCGGCAGCCCGAAACGGCCCAAAACAGCAGAAAGACACAGTGCTGCCGTTGCTGGGAACCCTTCCTCCACCAATTTCATCTTGCCAGTGGCAGCAAAACCACCGATCACGGAAGTATACCTTTGAATTTAGAAAGGTCCAAAGAAATTGAGCCCTTTGATGCAGAAAGGAAAAGCACGCAATGAAAGCATCTTCAATGTTTGCGAACAAAACAAACGGCGCACGTGATGACATCAGGCGAAATCTTCTGTCCTGCCATATCAGAATGGCATTCAGCTTGCAAAAATCTTGTAATGACAATGAAAGGCTTCGGAACGCACCTCGCATTTGAGACATGGTCTTCACAGCCATACTCATTTTGTCTGCCTGACACGAAACATTGTCAGCCGACCACGCGGTGTGTCACAAAAAAAACGTTTCTTGCACGGCAGGCTGTGCCCGCCTGCGCATAGACTTTGGTCAGGGTGTTGTAGCTTTCAAGATTGGGCGACACAGAGCAATTCCTTGCAGCGAGCAGGAAGAAACCCCAAGCAGAAAACCCAAGCCAAATGAGGAGCCAGAACCCCCAAGCCACCGTTCATCACCGTTTTGGCTGCCTACCTTATGCGTGGCCCGGCCTCATCCGCATCAGGACACCTTCCGCTGCCTCCAGATTCCCTTCCTGGGTGAGGTCCGGCGATTCTCTCCGGATCCGGACCTTTGTGTGGTCCAGAAACCCCCGGGAAAACCCCAAAAAACACTTCCCAACGAATGAGGTGAGGACCTTTCCGTAGCCGGCCATCAAGCAATTGAAGGGAGCTGGACTCAACATCTCTTCCTGCAACATCATGTCCAAAGTGAACCGCCTTTGAAACGGTCTTTGAGGAAAAACGCCTTTTCAGCCAGCTATTCCATCCAGCAATCCGAGAAGGTCTTTTCACACTGCGCCTGCTCTGCGCCTACTCTGGAGCACTTGTCGTCACTTTGGACAACTGCAAGGTTCCATGCTGACTGACCTTAAAACTTGTGCCACGGCTCAAGGACATCATCCTCCTCCTCCTCAGAACCCGGCACGGGTCCTGCGAAAGCAATAATGCAAACCAGCCAGTCCCAATGCGAGTCCCACAGCCTCCTTTCGGATAAAAATCACGCAGCGCAGCCAGATCATCACGGCCTTGAAAACAGGACACGTCATAGGACGATTCTGAAGATTGAAAATGGATCAGAAAATATGACTGTAACTCAGACGAGTCTTCAACAACTATTAAAGTTCATTTCGGACTATGCTTCAACAACGTCTGGCATGAACTAGTCTTGCGCGGTGCTTTTTTTGGGACACCCAATCGTGAACAAGGGATCGGTGGTCTGAGGAGGTGACTGACTTTCAAGTGGCCGGTGTCCAAAATGTCATCGATGATCGGAGCAAGGCATGTATCTGCGAAGGAGTTGGACTCCTGGCCATTCAAAGATTAGCGCCGAATCGCTTCCGAGCAACCATGGAGGCAACGAGGGGAGGGGCAATGAAGGGGGCAACAAGGGGTAGCAAAGACTTCCATCCTCCAAGGTTGGTATGGCGAATTGCTATGGAACAAGCTCCAATGATCTCCAGAGAATATTGAAACCATACTTCTGGTGCTCAAAGAGCAAGCAGCAGTCTGAAAATTCTCTTTCATGCCTCTGGAATGGTGATTGTGTTGCAGTGTCCAATATCCCAATATGCTTGAAAAAACAAATCCACATGTCAAGTTCATTCATGCCAGTCCGCTGCTGCCATCTTTGGGTCACGTGCAGAGATGTTCAAAGTAGAGCCTCAACCTCCTAAAGCCATAGTCTTTCTCCAAGTGTTCCTTGTGCCCAAGCATGAAAATACACTTGCCAGGCTTGGCACAGAAGAATGGGTCGCAGGCACGAGCGTACGAAAAGGCACAAAAGAAGCCGGCAGGGTTAGAAACGAAAAAAGGCAGGTCGAAAGAAGACGAAGCTACACTGCCACCGGGGCAAAAAGAAAAAGCAACAACACTCCGCAGGGTAGGAAAAAGAACCCGTCCAGGGCTGCGTTCTGACCGCTTTTCATTGGAACTCTCTTCTTCTTCGGTTTCGCTTGTATCTCTGATTGGATAGACTGGCAATCATTGTCTTATTCAGCCTGTCCACTTTGTGTATTGCACTTCTCAAAAGTTGTGTTTTTTGTTAGGTTATTGAACACAAATCTGTCGGTCTCTCAGGTTACTCAGTTCTTCTGCTACCATCTTGCAGTCGACAATGAACATTGATTCATCATTTGGGTCTATCCCATTACCAGTAACTGTGGATGATGATGGGATGATTGTGCACTGACTGATATAGGTAGTAGGACAGACCCAACTCATCATATTTTGTTTGGCAAATGGTGTGCAGGGTCTTGAACATCAAGAGGGGTTGAACATGCCCCTCAAACAATTGCGAGAATAACGACTTGCCGCCCAAAACAAGCGTGGCCACGCGGAGCCCAACGGCACCAAACTCAGAACTGCTCCCAAAAAAGCAGAAACTTTCTCTGTTCCAAACGCCTCTCCTTCAGCAGACCAGAGCTGGCCGCCAGCGCATCACGCAGCGCGATCATCGCCACAATCCTCGAGGGTCATTTGGGAGGGATTTGGAGGCCATCGCTCTTAGGTTGGAGGCCATCGCTAGAAACCATGTTCTTGGCGACCAACCCCCCTCCCCCACCCGTCCGGTCGCGCCTCATGCGTGGGAGTTTCTCCCTGTAGGCGCTCGGCCGATCCTCAGGCCGAGGCGCCGCCGGTCAACCGGGCGACACGGGCGGGCCAAGGCCCGGCGAAACGGGGTTCCGGCCGCAAGGCCACGGGCATAGGAATCGTACATCCTGGCGGAAAGGAGACGGATTTGAGTAAGGTTGAACACATGTTTTAACATGTTTAAACACAATATACAAGATTTAAGATTGGATTCAAGATAGTTCAAAATGTAGATCGTGATACCTTCTTAGTGTGTCTCCAACCCTGCCGGCGGTGCATCCACGCAGAGAGAATTGGATCTCCTCCCTGACCTGTTCCATGTCGGCTTTCACACAAAGCACTGGAGCCATTGGCCTCCAAAATCAAACACGTCAGCCACGCCAATCTGGTCGCCCAGGCCGGTCAAGATCGCCTGTGATGAAGAGTCTATGAGTCTATTGTGTGTTGTTTTGGTTCGATTTTGGTACATTGTCAGAAAGCCGTGGATTTACAAACACGTGTTTCCCTGTTGTTTGGATCTACAATCCATGCTTCTTGCTGTGTTCCTCTGAAACGAGAACAGGTGATCTCCACCTCAACCTGCATCCACAATGCTTTCGGGCAACGCTCCTGGAAGTGGTTTCGGCCAACGCCGTAAAAGTGGATCAAGCCAGGAGGCGCAAACCGCTTGGTTGTCGGGGAGAGAAGACATGTCTGGTACATACCAAACGGAAGTGTTTGACCAAGTCTGGCTTTAAAGTTCAATACGAATGCCACTGGACTCAACGCCTCAAAAGGAACATATACAGGCATGTACGTTCGATTCAAGTGGCCTTCGCGACGTACAGCATCGTCGGCTTTCGCCATCGACGTCCACGCCGAACGGCACCGTCCTGCCGCAGGGTGGCGGCCAAGTCCAGCATGGTGGCGACCTGGAGGCGTCAAGCGGTTCGTTTCTGCGCTTCCCATGCGCCCATGGCCATACCGGATTTTGGAAGCTCATTTTCCTGGACCGGTTTCGCTTTGCTGGGTTGAGGCTCGGTTTTGAGGCTCGACTTTAGCCCAGGACTGCGGAAAAGCAAGCGCGGCAGAACCTTGCAATCAAGGAGTCTCATCAGCTCTCTGCTGGAACAATACTTTGAGGGAGGCACTTGTGCTGTTCCAGGTCCTTCAGAAGCTTCAAGCAAGCCACTGATTTAGGTCAACTGGGGGAGATCATATCTTCACTGCTCTGGTTGAAATTGTAGATTGCTGAGATGGCCCTGCCCATCCACAACTTCGTTCCAAGAACGAGATGGCCCTAGCTCCTTCTCGTCCGCGAGAGCGGCTGCGATGCCAACCTTTGAACACTGGGAAAGTTGGTCTCAAAATCATTACCCCGCTGAAAAACTAACATGGACCCTGAACACCACTGGTTTGTAAAGGAAAACAGTCTTTCAGGGTGCCATTCTCAGGGGCCATGTTAGTTTTCGGGAGCGTAAAAAACACAGAGCAATGATGTCCCTCACTCACTCCCTCCCTCCCTCCCTCCCTCACACGCTCGCTCAGTCACTGACCATGGCTGTTGCCATGCCACGCATCAAGGCAGCCACCTAGGTGAGGGTTTGAAAAACCATCCAACAGTCTTCTGTGCCTCATCACGATTTCTGTGAGGAGGCTGCGGTATTGAGCTCCCAGCCACGTCCCCATCGAAGGCAAAGGTCTTCGAAACAACATTAAGGTGAGGATGTTCACATCGACAAACACCCATTTGTTTTTGCCAATCACAAGGACAAGCTTGCATTTCACACTTCTTCTGTGGATGTCCTTCTCTGCCTCTTTCTTTATGGCACTTGAGTGATCCTGGCAAAGCAAAGACTCGTTTTGCACACGTCACGTTTGGCCATGGCGAAGTTGCCCGTCCTTCATCGCTTCCTCTGCGGTACTCAGGGCCAACGCCTTATGGAAGACAACGGTTTCACAGGTTTATGCACACTGACGTCTGAGCTCACCGTGTCGTGGCTTTCAAGTTGACCTCAGCCAATGAGCAACTGAGAAATCTTGTGTGTAAGTGATATTGAATGCATCCGAGGCACGCCGTGCTGCCAACAAGCCACCTGTGTTGATTGACTGATTTGCTTCAAGTGCTCGTGCAAACTTCGAGGAATCACATTGCTGTTCCTCGTGCACATGCTGCACCCTGCTCCAGGCCTGCAAGTTTGCATCGATGCTTGTGATCTGTGACCTCGATGACATCGCTGCTGGAGCAGGGGAAAACACTGGACATCGCTGTGAGACCTGAGGGCTGCTGCCCAGCACCGGCGCTGACACTTGGCGTTGCAGTATTGCGACGAGCGGCACTTGGAACACGCAGCGGTGGCCCTCAGGTGACGCAGCCATGCAGAAGCACTGCCGCTTAGGTTGGCCAATCTGAGGAAAAGTCGTTTCGCCACACATGTCGCACCTTTGCCTCAAGTTGTCAAAACACTGTCAAACACTCATCAACCCACGACATGGTCAGAGATAATTACAGATTCAGCCAAGTCGCTCATGGCATCCAATCCATTTGCTAGTCATCAAAAACAGCAAAGAGGAATGACATCCGCGGCAGTATCCCAAGAATGGCTGGTCTTGGGCGTTTCACCAACATCGAGCACTGCTTATGTATATGCTGTCCTTTGCTGCTTTGCAAACATACTTTGAATATCCTTGAATGATCTTGTTCACCATCATGTTGAGGGATTCCTATCTTGACTATCCTGAAACCATGAGAGAATTCTGCAGTGTGGAGTCCTTGAGGCAAAAAAAAGAGAGAGAAACACTCAACGCCTTTAGTCAGTGGTCCTTCAGTCCATTTATGTTTCTCTCCACATTCCAACGACGTCACGTCGCCTCCTTGAGCACTTCGATCCACTTCTCGGCCTGCGACGCACGGGACGAGCCGGCGTGTGCGGCGCGAACGAGCCCGGTGGGGAATTGAAGGCTTGGCCCGGATGGAAGAAGGGGGGAGTGGCCTCGTCCATGTTGCCCTTGATGGCGCTCAAGTTCACCATCTCAAGCCAATGCAATGAAAGCTTCCAGCAAGACACGTTTTCGGAGGAGGTGGAGCAAATATCGTTCACTGTTTCCAGCGCGGTGCTCGGTAGACGCTCTGTCTCCTTCGCAAGAGCACTCAGCACCCAGCTGATGTATAGGTGGCGATGTCCAAAGGCAGACCTGCCGGTGATGAAACTCACAAGCCGAGAAGCTCTCAGCTGGTCAAACACTCGCTGGGAACATCGATCTATATATCTGATCTATCTGGCTGTGGGTCCAACATCCCCAGGAGAATGGGCCAACTATGACCAACTCCTAGGGCCATTGTCTCATGACCCACTGGGCCATCGAGAACCGCAACTCTTTGCCTGACTGCTTCATCTCTTCTGCCAACTGGGTGGCTGCGTCTGCGTTGCCTGCCTGGCGAGCAATGGTGCGCCATGCTGGTCGTCAGGCTGAGGGGGGTTGGCGCAGCACACAATCACTAGCCTCTGTGTTAGTATGAGATAGCGCTTGGCCGTGACGGCAGTTTCATCTGCTATTCCTCTAGTACTGAGGTGGCTTTGTGTCTCCAACGTGTGCAAGAGAAGGAGCTGCATGATTGTTGTCCACATAGGTTGCCTAAGGCTCTATGTAGCTTTGTATCTGCTGTCTGTACTACCAGACAACTCACGTTTGCCACCCTTCGTTTTCAGCAGAAGGAAATTGCTTGGAAGAAAGAAACTAGGTGGAAACGTGTATGGAAGCTCCACCTTGGCTCACATGCTCTCAACACAGGACAGGTTTGCGTGGGTCTTGTTAAGATCCTAATATACTTGCATGGCTTGGCTGGATCAAGCAACCCTTGCATGTGCCATATACTGGCGGCTTTCATTTGCAGAAATCCTTTGGCCATGCACCCGTGTGATCTCAGCATCCTGTCATATCCAAGCTACAATCGTTTGTCAAACTGAAATGAATGCTATGCCGTATGCCTAACAATCAACTGAGGTTCTGAGTCTTAGAATATTGCCACTGAAGAGAAACTGTCACTGCTCAGTGAGAACCGGCCATCCACAGAAACCATCCAATTACACTACTCGTTCCAACACAAGCGATCCGTGCGGAGTCCAGCGATTTTCGGGCCTTCACAGCTGTCGCGATCGCCGAATTGAAGCTGATGGTGCCCGGTGGAACCTGGTGGCGCTGGATACTTGAATGAGTATTTGTGGATACTTGTTGTTCAGTTCTGTGGTTTTTCATGCGTGTGCAGCATTGCGCAGCAAGGTGATAAAAGGGTGACTAAAGGTGGTGTCTTTCCGGAAATTGGTTGATTACGCTGGCCACCAGTCCGCCTCATGACTGCTCATATCACTCAGGCGTCGGCTCCCTTCCTCACCATGTCCTTTAACGCCTGCTTCGCCCCTGACAAACGGTGCAAAAAGTCTGCTGAAAGGCCAGTTTTCTCACAGGGCTTCATCATCTAGGTGGCCTAGTGACAAACTTCTTTGAGTATCAGTTTATAAACTTTAAATCAACGGCAGGCCGGCCTTCCACATCTCCAGCAGACGCATGAACTGCGATCTTGGCATTGCACCTGTTACGAGCAAGTGTTTAACCAGCAGACACCTTGTTTCAATCTCCTTGGAAGGGCACACAGGTTCGGTCAGTGGAATTCCCAGCAGCTGCATGTTGCGAAGGTGCTCCTTTCAGAAACAAAACGTCCATTTCATGCAGAACAATCACTCGATTTTGCGTCAAATCCCTGTAGAGTCGCTGGTTCCAACACGGGAAAGTGCAAAAAAAGCATCAACACCCCCAAGAAAACCTCTCCTCTGCGTGGGAAATATCTCCCGAAGGCGCACAGGACTGAATCGCCGTCGAAAACGTGTATGCATCGGGCCTCAGGCGGAAGGCCCAAGGGGCTCACAGCAGGTCAAATCCTTCATAGCCGGATGTAGCAAAACCACCTGTAACCAGCAGGCTGGGTAACAACTACTGCCACGGGGGCTGAGCCGGCATGACTGGACATTTGACCAATTTGGATCTTTTGCTTATAGACTCCACCACACCGAGACCTGCCACACGACTGCAGGGTTGGGCGAGCTACGTGCATTGCACTTCCTGCATCGATCGTAGCACCTGAAGGGGTGTGGCATCGGCCACACAAGCTTTCAGGGACCGAGGGACTCAAGGGAAACCTTTTCCTTCTCCTTCTTCTACTACTGTACAGACTATATGTATTCTTCTCCTTTTTTTCAATCCGTCTTTCTTTTCCTTCTTTCTTTCTTTCTTTATTTCTTTCGTTCCTTCGTTCTTTCTTTCGTTCGTTCGTTCTTTCGTTCTTCCTTCTCCTTCTCCTTCTCCTTCTCCTTCTCCTTCTCCTTCTCCTTCTCTTTCTTCTTGAAGCAACTTCATGTTCAGGGTGAACCCTGCGTGGCTCGGTACCACTGTTGGGTATCCGTCTTTCACTGAATCCGTCTTTCACTGAGGTACGAAAGCACAGCTGCAAACCCCTCTCACAAACGAGCTCACATCTATGCCTAGCACCTTGTGGACAGGGGACATTCTATTCTTCATACTGTGGATGTCAAGCTAGCATAGTGGACAGGGGTTCTAGCTTTTGACCCACATCACCACGCCCATTGATATCCAGATCATAGAATGACCTCGTCAGTGCCGTCCATGTCTCCACCAGCTGCATATGCACTCATCAATATGTTGTAGGCCTACAAGCCCGGGGGCTGGTCCAAGAACAGACTCAACATGGACTATGCTGACGATGGAGAAAAGAACACATATGAAGATTCAGCAAGAAACGCAGCGGCGTTGAACATGTTTTTTGTTGTATGAACACATAGGGAGTCTCATCAACACCACCGGCCTGAAGATCGGGCCGAAAATCCGCATCAGTCATCTTGCTAAACCACGATTCCGCTCGCTCGGCATCTCCCGCCTCTCAGGATGGAAACGAGATAAACCCGCGTGACGAGACAAACCAGGGAGGGATTCGTCTCAAAATCAGGAACCTTGGATCAGATGAATCATATATGATAGAATCCCTGTAGATGTGATGTGGACATACCAAGCCAAGCCATCTGGCTGCGCAGTTTCTCAATCCTGAAAGCGGATGAACGTCTTTCTTCGACTGGAGGAACGTCGAAATCGACCCGTTGGAACATCTTCGCAGAGCTGTGGGACTGTGTGCCCCTCATGTACCGGACCGTAGGGAATGGAGGGGCCACGAAAGGATGAATAGAAAAGCCGTTAAGGGCCCGCGTCCAGGGCCCGCGTTAAGGGCCCCCGTGAAGGGCCCCCCAAGGGTTTTGAGGGTTCCAGGTGTTCACCCATTTTCACCCAGGAATCCGGAGAAATGGCGGTCCTCAAATGGCTGTGCAGCCTGACGTCCCGCTGCCAGCCCATTGGATCCGACAGGAAGGCTGATGAGCTTGGAAGCCGAGCTGGAAGCACTGTCAAACATTGGGAGAGCTGATCGAGCCTTTCTGTGCAAAGCTTGGATCAGCAAAGCTGAGAGTAAGCTGAGAGCTTTGCTGTGCAGCAAAGCATGCTGCTTTGATCATGCTTGCAAAGCATGGCCGGAAGCCAAATGGGGGGCACCGCCGGGCACCGCTTGTAGCAGGTTTGTGACGTGGACGAGAGACGTTCAGCAGCTTCCACCAGGACGTTCAATGTTTAACGGCAGGATAATGGCTTCAAGAGTGGAATTTCGGAATGAACCTTTGTCTTTGGAGCTTGGCACATGATCCCACCTGGACTAGAGTGTATAGCTGATGATGCCCCATGCAGCGCACTCAAAAGACTTGATTCAGATGCGTCAGTCTGCCGTTCGCAGCCTGCCGTTCGGGTGTGTTTACGTCAATAGATCCCGCTGCAAGCGACCATTCCTGGGATGTCGCCGGTTGTGAGACCTTGTGACACCTCTGCACTGTCTTGGCCTCTGGTGTGTTTCTCTGATGCCCTTCAACCAAACCAAACCGACCCCCAGCAGCCATGGAAGGCAGCCGAAAGCTGCTTCACTACATCTTGTGAGGCCTCAATAAAAACTAGCCATTTTGAGAGCTGAAGGAGGGCAAAGGATCCAACACAAGACAATCGACGGTATGTATACCGTGGTACTTTTCTCAACACGTGCTTCTTGGCTGCCTTGGCGCAACGTAGAATCTTGTCATGGTACCTGCACGCCAATCTTCGTTTGTCAATCTTTTCTCAGCAGAGGGAGATATTCTCTATATAATATGTATGTTGTTGGTTCATTTAGTTATTTAGCTCCTCTGCCGAAACAGCTGGTGTCACTGGGCAAGAGAGGACAAAGAGGATGTCTCATCACCTGATGAAAACGTCGCGTTGTTCAACGAGACGGGTCCATCGCCACGAGACGAGTCTGTCCTAAGCTTCAAGCTGGAAAACCTTCGAATGGCCTCAGTGCCCGTGGAAGATAAAGCGACCTTCGCTTTGCAGCTTAGATCAGCTTAGCAACCAATCCTTGAAAATCTTAAAAGCATAGCCATGACGACTCAAGGACTATGCTTATATAAGTTTGATTGGTGCAAAGTATTTTGGTCTTTGGCATTCCTCTGACATGATCTGGCCGGGTGCTTTACATCATGCAAGGATCCCACTTGCTTCGGATGTCAACATTTCGTGTTCAAAAGCACCAAGGTGCCCGAACCTGCAAGGCTTGTCGGAGTACCCTGACATGGCCGCCTGGAATGTGCGTAGCGATGTAACAGGCAATGCGTCCCAGGTGTTGATGGGGGTGGAGCCAGGTTTCAGGAAGAATCTGGAAGAATACATTCTGATCTAGAAAGGGGTCGCTTGAATCCACTTTTCCTCATTGAATTGACTGAATGGCGTCCCAGGCTTGGTCCGAACCACGGATCTACTCCCGTAAGATCCGCATCCGGAATCGGTGGGATCGGTGGGATCGGTGGGTGGGTCAAAAGATGTAAAAAGAACCTTGACACCTCAGCAGGATCCAGCCCTGAAAAGAATGTGACTGCGATAGATGGGGGAAAGACATGGACAATGAAAACCACCTGAAAAATGGTCCAATCATGGAAAAGACATGGACACCGTTTTCACCCGCCCCAGGCAGTCGCGGGTCACCCCCAGAGTGCTTCGGCGCAGCGGCAGCGCAGGAAGCGCCCGGAAGCGTTCCGCCCCCCTTTTTGGTTCCTCGCCAGCTGCCCAAGCAGCTGCGGATGGTGCGGATGGCGAATTCTCATCCGTCCCGGGAATCCCCGAAGGTCTCGTCGTCCCCACCCATGACCTCAGCTACGTCGTTTTCGTCCGGACACAGGATGCGAACTGGCTGGTCTAGCTGGCTGACGTCGTTTTTGGGGGTAGTTGTGAAAACAGAAAACACAATAATAAACAATAACTAACATACCAATAACTAATTTCAATATGTAGTTATTACATTAATAAATAGTATTGGAATATGTTGAACCGACTGAAAAAAGAGGTCAATTCTCTTCGTCTGAGATCTTGGCTGCTGATGGCTTGTCCTGCTGCTTTTTCTTGCTGATCCCCGAAATGATATCATCAATACCTGCCGCTTCTGAAGGGGATTGCCACAGGAACCACTCGAAACCATAGCTCTCGTGACTTGTGTATAGCTTCCAAATACTTGCGCACGGAGCAGCATGGCAGCTGCCTCAATGGACGTCCTGGAAATTTTCAGAAGAAGTCATCCGAGAACAAGTTCGTTCATGTTCGTTCAGGTTCGTTCAGAGTGAAGAAACATCTCTTCGATGGACATGTCGACACTACTATCCAAGAAGAATCGAAAGCCCCGTGCCTCAAAGTTTGAACCTTCACCGCAAAGGTGTCGAAAATGCTCAGCTCCTCGAATGCGAAAGGTAAGTCGTTTGTGAAACAACGCCTGGATCCTTGAATTCCATCCACACCTGACCTGTCCATCACTGTCCGTCTCTATATGGGTGTGTATTAAATAGGAGGACCCCCATATCAATTGGTTTTGGTCGATTTCCTTTCCTCATCTTCCTCCAGTTGGTCTTTGGGAGGTCTCCCTATTAAAAAAAGTAAAAAAACATGGCCGCCCACTATCTGTCTCTTCTCACGGTGCGGCGCTCAGCCGGCCTTGACATCGGCCACTTTTCCAGTTTTACCATCGATGCCAAAGGCGGCATTGCCTCGTGGAGACCAGAGACGGTCGAAGCAAACGGTCGATGCAGGCGCGATGGATGCACACCTGCTGTGGCATGTCGTGCACGTAAGTCGGTCATGGCCCTCACCACATCTGCACCTTTGCAAGGAGAGATAGGCAAGCACATGCTCAGTGGTTCCTTCCATATGGGAGCCGCCTCTGATGTCCTACACCAGCTGAGCTCAGCACCACAATTGTGAGCAAGACTGCGGGGGATGACTTCAAGAGCCTCTCCCACAGCCTTGTAGGCGTACCTCGCCCCAAAAAAGCGCCAGAAAGAAGCTGCTGTTTGCCCATATGAAGGGTCTCTGGCTTTGGTGTTTTGGGTCCGACACTGAATGGATAGCCAGGGCACTGCCGACTGCCTTCGATGGTTTTGGACTTTTCCTTCCTTGGAGCAACAACCGCATCGGCCGTGATCAGCACTCCCAGTCGGTGATCAGCACTTCAGGTGAGGCACAGTCGCGCAGCCAGCTCCATTTCAACTGCTCCGCCACCAGGTAAAAGCAATCTGGAGCGGAGGCCGTTTTTTCGTGGGGAAAAGCTCCAAAAGACTGCTCTTGAGAGCACCAAAAGAAGGAAGAAAAAACGAGATCAACGATCTCGTTGAGTGCGAGGCGGTTCGAGGATGATGTTGCGAGCAACACCAAAGGCGTCCTCGGAAGGATGAAGAAAAAAAAAGGCGTCTCTGGTGCTTCAGTTGGCTTCGCAAAGTCGTGCACAAACTAGCAAGTTCGTGGCAAGTTCGTCCTGCAAGTTTCGCTCAATTTCATTGAGCACGTCCCTAGTGGCACCTCTGAGAATGATGGAACCTCGTTTCGCACCATCGAAGCACGTCGCGTGCGTCAAAGCAACTCCAAACATCTCAAAACTCTGTCTTAGGCAAGGGCAAGCTTTAGGATCCTGGCACCGGAAAAAGAAACAACACCAAGACCTACTCGCACACACCAAGACCTATAGGCACCGAGATTGTTCTTCTCAGCGTTTCCGGTTTGTCTGGACTCAAGTTAAACATTTCGGTCGTATTGTGGTCAATGAAGGCCTGACAAAAGGACTGTTTTCTCCCGCATGAATCACGATGTCTCCAACTCTTTCTCAAATCTTCAAATCCCCCAAAGACACCTCCACTTAGCGCCTTTTCCCCCTCCCTCCACCCTCGAAAACCACCTTGTATGTGAACATCATGTGTGCAGCCTGGAGTTTTTGGCACTAAAAAAGCCCCGCACCTTGCACTCGGTCAAGAAGGTGAAGTATTCCTCACCGATCTTCTGGACCTTGAAGCGGCCACACCTGGGTTCTGCAGGTTCTTCGACCAGTTTTTCTACACAACGGAATCGCGCGCATCGCCGTGCTGGACCGTGCTGGGCCGCCTTTTGCTCTCAGCTTCTGTGCAGTACAGCATCGCTTTGCCCGGCCGAGTTGGTGGATTTCCTGTGGATTTCCTCAGCTCCAAACCTCGTGCCAACCATGGACTCCTGCAGTTCCTCTGTGCGGTTGCAGATGTGGGCTCCAGTGACTCTAGCCTAAGAGACGGGGAGGCATCACGACGGGGAGGCATGCAACACTGCAGAAAAGGACGGATCAGAAGAAATGATCGAAAAAAGGAAGATAAGTAAGGCCTCCTTTACTAGGGGTGTTATATACGGTGTTGATCTACCTACCTTTTTTGACATCTTTTTCTTGTTTCTTCCTTTAAATCAGCTGTTTGGTCTTTAAATGAACAACCACTGAAGACAGCGACATAGCGCCAAACAGCTCCACACAGCTAGAGCCTCTTTCAGGGAAGATCTTCTTCAAGCAACCCCAATGCCAAGCAAAGGTCTCTAAAAACTCTAATGGTCAATTTCCCACTCGCTAAGTGCATTGCTACTGGTAGCAAGAAGCTACTAGTAACGCTACTAGTAATGCTAGTTAGATTTCACACATGGTCGACCTCTTTCTCGGTTGTTCCAGGCATCCGGCAATTCGGTGATTGTCAGTCTTCCGAATACGGCGGATCACAGAGCAACCACCCTGACCAGGTTCGCGCATCGGGCACGATGCGGTGGCGGCGCGGTCGGTTCGGCGCCTTCATCAGGAAGTGCTGCGCAAGGTCCTGATTTCGGTCGCCGACAGCAGTCTTGCGCGGCTGAAGCGCAAACAGAATGTCTTGATATATCAAAAGATTTCGATACTGTTCACTGCTAGCAACAACAACCTGAACAACCAAACAGAACACATCAGAACACAACTATATTTTTCACTGTATTCCTTTGTCTCTACTGGACTCCAAACCAAACTCAGCAAGGAAAGCCCTCCCATCTCACCAGGAACGGACGCTAGGACGCTCACGGAAACACCTTTCTCAGTGATCACCAGGTCTGGCTTCACTTTGAGGATGTCATCGCAAACTCTTCGCATTTCCTCCTGTAGCAAGTGTGCAGTTTCTTGGGACTTCCAACAGAACCAGCTGCTTGCAAAGCCTTAAGTTTCGTTTCCGTGTAACTGGAAGTATCATTTTCTATGATGAAAAGAACTCGCTAGGTTCTGTTATCAACACCCGCCAAACTTAGTAGTGCTCTCAATACTTGCATTGTTCTCTTGTTATCAACACTACCAAATATCGCAAAAGAGAAAAAGGTCGTCGTTGGAGGCTGCGAAGCTGAGCCTCCTCTTGCTGCAGCAGCTTCTCCCAGTCTGCTTCTTTTGTGATCTCGACGTTGGTTTGACCTCATCAAAAAAAGCAGGACATTTGCCATGTGAGAGATGTTCTGATGGTGTCGGTCAGACCTTGGTTCAAGAATGCTCAAGATGGTTGGAGCTACTCCAACTCGATGCCAAGCTGCTTTCACCTTTCTTGTACTCAAGGGGACAGTCGAGCAAAACGACCTCATGGAAGCGCAAACAAATCACAGTATAAAATGAGTCCGGGCTGTGCGACAAGCGGTCAAATCTCCAAAAAAGAAATGCCCGCCCAGCGTGCCCGAGGATTCTTGATCTCGCGTCTCATTCGGGGATGCGTGATGTCCTTGTTGAACATGACACCATCCAAAACCTGCGAAGAGGCCACGAAGGCCGAAGAAATTCGTCACACCGAAGTCACACAAAACACTTCGTTACGGTTGGAGAGGAGGCCATTGCTAAGTCGGTTGGAGGCCGCTTTTGGGTTGGAGGTTTGTTGCGTTTGGTCAGGCCTTGCAATCCGAGAGCTCTCCGCCCTGGATCTTCTCCACCTTGGCGAAGCGCTTCACGTCGATCTCCTGGGTTTCGACCGACGGTCGACCGAAGCGACGTCGACCGAAGCGACGTCTACCGGAGGCGGCTCCTTCCGCCCGTCAGGCTTCACAATGCAGACAGTCTTGACTGCTTGAATGGCCAGGTCGGAAATCAACGAGCCAAACCTCCAGAAAGTCACAGAACAAAAAAAAGGAGGCGCCTCACTGAAAGCCCATAGCAATCCATACCATCCTGAATTCATCCATAGTACAGTAGGGTGTAATCAGATGTATACAGTATACATCTTCAATCTTTTTACCCCTTTCTTTCCTCTCGGCCTCTCGGTACCTTACGTGGTCTTCGGTTGTCCCGAAGAACACCCCGGTCCGACTCCCGGTGGTTTTCAGCTCGGGCCCCGCGGTCACGGAGCCTGCTGGCAAACTTCGTGTCGATGGAACCCCGAACGATTTCGCCCAAGGCCTCGCCCGCTCGGCAGTGGTCTGCAGTTGGGATTCCATTGCTGCTTTTGACACTTGCAACTGGATCTGAAGTGTTTACTTTAAAGCATGTGTTTCGGTATTGAGATCGTAAAACATGACCATTCAGATTCCAGAAACAAAATACACATGGAAGCACCTTAGGATCATCCACGTCCACGGGGTACCTGCAAAATCCATCCAAACGTGGGACGAAGGCAAAAGTGCACAACACTTGCAAGAGCTGTAAAACATGGCAGCTGACGCCAACTCCTTCAGTAGCGTCTGCGCGTCCTCTAGAGCCTTCATGTATCCAGACCTCACTGCTAGATATTAAGCTTTCTGATAGTGGGTTGAACAAAACTGTGGTATTCAGGCAATCGCATTGTGTCCCCCTGACTACTGTTGACACCGGTCACAAGACACTCACGTAGCCTTTCGAAGTTGAGCACCCGACACGATGAGAGTCGGGTGCAGCTTCTTCTCAAGCAAAGGCTCTGCCACTCCCAAAAGTTCCCTGGCGTCAGGAGATGCAAGGTTCAGGCCAACCAGCATGCAAGTGTTTAGAAAAGCAAGAACAACTTTGCCCAAAAATGAGATTATGAGTTATAATTAAGGGTATTGAACGGTATTGGTTGATACAAGTTCTCCTTCTTCACTCTTCAATGCCTTATCCTTGTCCTTGAATTACCTGCAAGTGGCACCCTGCGAGAATGATCACTGACGTAGTGCCATCTCCCACTTCTTCGTCCTGCGCCCGACTCAACCTAAGTCGTGTGTGCCGATGATGTCTTCTCTTTTGACACACTCTGGTCGGGGCTTAAGTTTCCTCAGGAAAGTACAAATTTAAATAGAAAATATTGAACATGCTTCCTCAATCAGCCAATCAACATGTCTTTCAAATCAATACTGTAGCCTCAGAGCCAGGTGAGGGTGAAACATCATTGGGGCTCAAAGCAGAAGGAACCACGGTAACCATCGGTTTGGGTGGATTTTTCCTGGCTGGAGATTCCATGCGCTATGCCTTCTGCCCATCCCTGAGTCCAGAGCTCTATCATGTTCTTGGCCGCAGGATGAGAGACGTCAACCTGAAAGCGCAACAGGATTTGGAGGACCCTTCTCAAAAGGTTCAATTTCTCCAAAGTTCTCGCTTTTGCAGCAAGAAATGAAGCAGCTGAGCACATCTTCGCATGTCTTGTGGACTCTCAAAGTTTGCGGCTTCGACGTGAAACACTGTTCTCTCATAGATCAATGCGGACCTCACGCAGGATGGCGTTGCCATCATTGGTCATCACAATTCCACCCATAGGATCTAGCCTCAGGGAAAACATCATGCGGACATCCGGTCTATCGCAGCGGGAGGTGGGCGACCGTGGTGTCTCACAAAACGTGGTGCCTCATTGCATCACACTCTCATCTAAGTCGTGCTTGCTAGGCCTTAAAGGCCCATCGCTGGGAGATTATCTTAGCTACTTATATAAGCTACTTCGGGCGACCGGCCTTTTCTGTCTTCGCTTTCTCACGAATTCGTCCGACTTTGACGTGATGTTGACGTGACATCTGTCGTTAAACCTCCATTGAAAACTCCGTTCGGCTCGCTAAGCCTTTCCTGTTTCCCAAGATCCCAACAGCATCTTCAGCATTGCTCGTGGCCCCAGTGTTGTCCGCACAATGCCTGCTACTGTCTTGCCCGCCTGCCGGTCGGGTTCCGAAGCGTCACGGTTCGGTTCGACGTTGACACGGTGGGTGGAAGAGAAGACACGGGACCTTAGCTGACCTGAACCATGTTGACATGGGTAGAACAACAAGTCATTTCAGAAAGGATTCGAACTCTCGCAACTCTTTCAAGGGGAACGCTCATCAAACAAGCACACAACCTAACAAAAAACACGCGAGGACGCACCTGGATGTTTGTGAGTTGCGCTTTTCGCCCCTGCAGGAAGCGGGGAACTGCGGGTTTCGCAGCGTGCATGGGCATGAACATCTCACAAAGCTGCAACGCAAGGCGCCTGGTCCCGCTTGGCATTCTTATTGATGACAAAAACTCCTTGCCCTCCTGGTCCTGATTACACAATCCACATTCATCCTTCATCCCAACTCAGAATGCCAATCCCAGCCATCCTCCAGCACCAGGCATGGGCATCATGGTGGAGAACCTGATCTCAGCGCGCAGTGAGATGTGGTTTCTCATTCGTCCCCACCCCAACGAAGCTCTGGCCACCAGGCTCCCCTACAGGGACCGATCAGCAGATGAGCTGCTATTTTGAGCCAAACTGCTGCTGCGACCCGACAAACGATCCGAGGGGTCGGACGCCGAAAGAAAACGTCGACTTGGGACGTGGGGAACAGGAACATCCATGAACACCTGAACTATTGAAACCTTCAAAGGTGTGAAACCGGCTTCGGCATGGTCATGAACATCAATGAACGTAGCAAAGCACTTTTAGGTGTGAAACCTTCAAAAAGTCTGAGACTTCGCCGAACCGGCCCAACATCATTCAAATGCCCGAAGCGGTTTATGGACGGGGGCGCTCCATCAATGCCGAGTGGGGGTAAGCGCGCCTCTCATCATGGCCCGTGGCCATGGCATGCTTGGCGCTGAATCCGCGGATCTTGAGCCAAACTCGGATTCTGTGCATCGGCGGAGTTCAGTGCATCTCCCCGCTGTGTGCATCTCCCGAGAGTGCAGTGGAGGATCCATCGTGATCGAGAAATCTCTACCGTTGACCTGGTGACAGCTCACTGCTCACAAGATCTTTTCTACTCACCCATCAGCTTCTGTGACGGGCGTCAAGATGTGAAGACTTGAACAGTGGATGAACTGGTCTTCACAAGTGAAACAGCTCTGTGTGTAAACAGAGATGCTACTATGGGAAAAGAATTTATCTGGTCAAGATCAACAGGGTTTGGAAGCCAACATGATGCACCGCTCCCGGCCCCTCACGGCCCCTCACATCATCTGCTCCCTGCGATGGCTGAGAATGGCAAACCATCTGCCGGTCGGGTCGTTGAGTCCAGACGTTGCGTGGTTGAATGAAACGGCGTGGTGATTTGAAACGGCGTCTCCAGGTCTCGCACTGCGCCGGAGCTTTGGAAGGACCCTGGCAGCCGGAACATCTAGGAAGGACCCTGGTGCTGACTGGTCTTTGTGGAGTCTGATTCGATGAATCGATCGGAAGGATCTGTTCATAACAGGATCCCACTAGATTTGCCATATGCCACTCTTGGAAACAAGGAAACTTGAGGGTTCCCCCAACAGGATTTCAACCTACGTGGCGATGGTTGCTGCACTTTTGAACTGCTTTGGAGGATCTGTAGCTGTGGTTCCTCTCAATTTTGATCCTAGGTACAAGTACTTCGAGGGGGGCCAACAGTCGGTTGCCACCTTGCGTGCAAACAGTTTGAGAAAAGTCATACAGACATGGTGCCAGCAATTCCGCACCCCCGCAAAGAGCATGGCATTCTTTGTGAGTGTTTGTCTCACCATGTCCTCCCCAAATTGACTACAGCTCACGTAAAGTCCTGAGACTGAAGTCGAGTTGCAAGAAAGAAGGAAAGAACGCCCATATACAACGAAATCATCAGTACTGCGGTGTAGACACCAACATAGCATCTTGGATAAGAACACGTGCGGGGCGTACTGATGCGGTCGCTCGGGCTCTTATCACCGCCAAGAGGAACCCCACAAGCAATGCAATCTGATGCGATCACAGCTCCAGCGTCTCCACGCGATCAAAAGCAATGTCCAGAGCCAAAGGGTTCCAGAGCTCCAGAGCTCCAAGGTTCCAGACCCCTTTACCAGGCCAGGAGCCTCTTAAAGACTCTTTCACATCAAGGCCTTTACGCTAAGAAGATCCTATTACATGACACCAAGATTCTGTACACCAAGGCCCTTTTGGGGCGTTACTACGATAAAACCCTTCTACACCAAGACCTGTTTCCATCAAGGCTCCCAAGTTGGGTAGTAAAACACCAAGACTCCCTGGTAAATGCCCAAACTGTTCTCTACACGCGTGGTGCTCTGCACACAGTGCTCGCACCATCAGCGCCATCGGCCACGCCTCATCCATGGTGCAGGCCGTCGGCGCTTGGGCGCTCCTCATCGAGCGGAACGAGCGGAGTCGACCGCGTCACCCTTTGACTCCTTTGGCGTAGAAACCAAACAACACCGGAAAAAGGGTTCCAGGTTGACTCATGTTTGGGGTTCAACCCTCTTTTTCTTATATATACATATGTGATCATATGTGTGTGTTGGTCCTTTTCGTGTGCCTAAAGAGACCATCCATTACATGTTCCTGTTCCCGAACACCAATCCGATGGTCATTCAAACCCCGCGGAAGTCCACCTGTATCATTCACCAGCGTTTTCAACTGCTGTTTCTCGTTCGGACTTGCTTTCGATCACACTCCACTGAGCGCCGCACTGCTGCTCCTGTTGGGCAAGGACAGGAGGAAGGTTCACTCAGTTTACTCCACTTCGTCTACTTCTTCTCGTGCCTCATGTCTACCGCCTTTGTCTTCGTGGGGTCTACCCAGGAGTACTACTTTGTCTACCCTCAATCATCGCAATCATAAAATCGCCCTGAAAACATCGCCTGGTATTGCCGTTTCATCAAATCAGCCGCAATCATCTGCGTCTTGACAAACTCAAGCTTCTCGTCATTTGCCAGCCGCTTCACATAGCCCATCCTGGCGAGGGCAGAACAGGGGCAGCTCAAAAAGTACATCAAACACCACGCATGCAATCTGGTCCGCTCTCCTTACTCGTGTGGCCATGAGGCTAGAGTAGAGGCCACATCCAACTACATCCGCAAAGCCAGTACTACTCTAAGTGCTGGTGATGCTAGTAAGGTTCATGTGATCTGGGAAAGCGAAATTGAAAGCTCCACGGACGCTAGTTTCGCACAATTCAGGAAGCCACCCCACAAGTGCAACCAAGCCCGCAAGAGGACACGAACAGAAATAGCAGTGTCACATCCTCCAGAAAGCAACGAGCCTGCCGTCTGGCGGGAGCTTCTGGAAGACCTGTCAGGTGAGTTCAACTCCTTTCTTGTCGTGTGCATTGCGGTCAGGGAATATCAAGACTCAAGACTTCGCTTGGTCCAATGCAAAATTTAACTCGTCAATCAAACACTTTCTTACAACGTGGCCTGCATTTTCTTAAGAGTCTTTTCGTCCATGAAAGATCTTTTCCTGAACCCAGCAAGCTGGTGGAAAAAAAGAACGACAAGCAAGTGTTCTACAAACAATCTCAATTACAATGTCTTTTTCTGAGACCGAAACTGTTCTTCGGACATTTTGGAGATCTCTTCCCTTGCCTGCAGGTGATTCTTGCAGTCTATCTTCCAACCGGGTCTGCCGTGGTGTTGGCGCATGGTGAGCTCCTGGGACCCGAAGGTTTCCATCTCCTCAGCAAATTCCTTGTCCAGCTGTGGCCTCAGAGCCATTTCGGGGAGGATTTCTCACATGGCGCAAGAACATGCATATGGCCCACATGGCCCACATGGCGCTGAAACATCTGCAGATCCTCAGCTCTTCAAATCTCAAAAGTCCTCCCAGTCCTCCCGTGCCAAGGCGCATCATGGGCATCTTCAGCAACTCGCCTCCACCAGCCTCAAAAACAAGTCACCCAACCGGCCGGTCGACCAGCCGTGCGACTACGCGCGAAGTCCCAGCCGCCTGGTGTGCTTTCAGGGCCGCCATGCAAGTTTGTGAGGCTTTCGTCTTCCACATCTGAAACAAAAAACATGGTATAACCAAACTGGCAAGACCTCTCTCACGATCGGACAAGTCACAAAGCAAGCAACCAACACGCAACCTGCATCTTCTGACCAACTTCCGCATCTTTTGGAAAGTCCTGGACTTTGTGTTCGTCCAGAACAGTGAGACTGGATCAAGACCCTTATAATATTAAAAAAGCAGGATGATGGCGATGTGCTGTACACCGATGATGGCGTTGGAAGGCAAACAAGTTTAGATGGCTGAGTTGGAAGTAAAAGGGCATGAAGAAATCCATCAAGGGCATTGATGGCCAATCAAATTGGCCTGTCAGCTGGCATCGAGTCTCCTGTGGGATGCGCGACAGCATGGCACAGCCGTGCTCCTTCTCAAAGCCCAGATCCTGTGGCTCACTTTGGTCCGTCCACTTCCAGTCCCTGACGTCGCATGGTTTCGCTGGTCCTCCAGCAGATCTGTCTGCATCCCAATGATCACGTCATTGGGCACCTTGCAGAGTGCAGAACATCGTCTCCAAAATAAGGATCGCCCTAAAACAGTGGGCTTCAGAGTCCCAGCTCAGGCCATCCCAATGATCTTCAGGTGGAGTGTCAAGGTCAAAATGAGAGTCCATTGCTATTGGTAGGCTTGCGTTGTCCTTCAAGGTGGACGACAGGAAGATCTTAACGAGAAAAACAACGCATCGTCAGATTTACTTACTCGCTTGGACCTTGGACCTAACTTGAACAGAGTCTCACATTACCGACTTATGCCACACACTTAGACCTCAACGACAACAGTTGATTGGTCTCCAGTCACTACCCCGGACTACCCGGTGCATAGGGCGTGGAAGGCGGGCACTTTCGCCGCTATAGCCAAAATGGCACGGATGTGCAACCGTTCATCAACCTGCTTTGGTCGTCTCCCTGTTCCTTCGCTTACAAAAAACAAAAATCATCGCTTCGCGACAGATTGCTTTCGCCCCTTCGAACGTTGCACGCACTCTTTTTCTCTCACTGGGGGCTCGTTCGGTGCAGCTACGCTGCTTTGACAGACATGGAAAAACAGCGCAGCCTCAGACTTACTTACTCGCTCTTAATTACTTGACCCTTGGATTGAGTGTTTTCAAAAGGTCTGCGATGGTTGTACCTGGAATAAGCCTATACGTAACACAGCCATAGCAACTTTATTTCAGAACTTGTTTTGGCAACTTTTAACCTTTTTTGACAACTTTCAACTTCTTTCAACAACTTCTTTTTAAAGTTGCAAGTTTCTTTTAGAACTTCTTGTAGAAGTTGCAATGCTCAAACAAGGAAAGAAGTTTACAAAAAAATGTTAGTGTTCGGTTAGTGTTCGGGCGACAAACGGTTGTTATTTATAACGCAAAGAGAAATTTGTAGCTTTATATTAGTGTTCGGCCAGTGTTCGGACATGCATGTTGACAAGTTCTTTAGAACATTGTAAACTTTTTGTAAAATTGTTTAGAGTTCTTTAGTGTTCGGAAAGTTATTCCTCTAATCCAAGAGAATAAAAAGTGTATAAAACAAGATTGTTGCTGCGGAAAGAACATTGTCTATGCGGAAAGAACATTGTTGATGCGGTTTGTGTGCATGCCTTTGAAGACCTTCTCGAAAACGCCCAACCCTTGGACTTAACTTGAACAGAGTCTCACATTAGACTACCCGAAGTATGGTGTGTCTCATGTAGTCAAGTACCACATTCAACCCGGTGTATTCGAGCGCTGTCCAGCTCCCCCCCTCCAGCCTCGATGGAGCGTCAGCTATATTGCTGGGGGAAGGGATGTTGGTATACCATGAAAGACTGTTACTGCTCGAGTCCTGGGTCAACATCTTGCGACTTGCAGCACTCTTGGCCGTACCAACCACAAATGCCTCTTTGACCCCGTTGTTGTTACGCAGATTGCTTGAAATGACGTTTCACTAGAACCACTGGTAGCATCCCGGCTTGCGCTATGACCTGCCAAACTCGCGCCACGAGTCCACAATCTCCACAGAAACCACTGAACCACAAGCCACACGCTATAGGTTTTGCCAGCCTTGGTGACAGAACGACAACCCTGTGCGACGCAAACTGAGTGAACATCACACGTGGGGTTCCCTTGGCACTGCTTGCAACCTTCTGGGCGGCGCAGACCTGAGTAGAACGGCAACAAATTTCAAGCACTCACGGATCTCCTTCGACGCCCCTTTCACTCCCAGCCCGATTATAGAGCGCTGATTCACTGGCTCCAGGATGGGTGCCAGCCATACCCATCCACAGTGGGATTTGTAGGTTTGCTCTTCAAGTTGGGGATCTGGCTCAGCCCAACACGGGCTGTCCAGGATCAGGGTTTGATCACATAGTCACACACACCGTCGCCGCATTCCAGCATCCAGCTCTGCAGCACTTCCTTACCTCATCAATCAAGTCAGCCTTGGCCGGTGGAGTTCGCACCCTGTCTGAAGGTTTGTAGCTTGGGTGTCAAGAACCTGGTGTCCATCACACTGGAGCCGTGCCCTGCAACAATGCGTGGGAACTCTATACTTCAACTTCGTCACCCCACTCGCCCTTGACTTCCACCACTGTCGTCTTCTCGACCTAGCTGCGAAGGAACTCAAGGGGGCTTGGGTTCTTTCTTTCATCTTCAATTTGTGAGTCCACCTCCATGGTTTCCGTGGGGGAGTCCTGTTTCTCGCTCGGGCAGTAGGACTTGTGACCTTCATTCCGCATCTCGGTGAGCTCCGTCAGCCTTCGTGCCATTTCCTGTATGGACACCACCTCGTACACATGGAGCTCGGTCTCTGTGGCCCCCCCGCTGTCTCCCCCATCAACTGGGGGCTGTCATCAGTGTCCACCTCCACGACGCCCAAGTCACACGTGCCGCACGATTAACAGCAGGGGGGCCACTATAGCCAAAATGGCAAGTAGGTGTGCAACCGTTAATCAACCTTTGGTTGTCTCCCTGTTTCTTCGTTTACAAAATACATCATCGTTTCACGACAGATTGCATTGATCGCGCAAGAAGTGGATTAGGCTTCATTGGGAGATGCCCGTCCGCAAACCTTGCCTTGCCCTCCACGGCGATGTACTTGAGCAACTCCTTTCCGCACATCGCCCAAAGTTCAAATCCAAAATGTAGTATATCGGAATATCCCCTCCCAGGTCTGCCCGTTCAGCATGTCTCCTCCTGAGTTTCCGGTAAGTCCATCCTGCACGACGTGAGCTCACTTGTGTCTCCGAAAAAACGAAAGGACAAAATCGAAGTCCTAACGTTTGGATGCACAACCGCCTCGTTTGTACCACGCCTCGTGTTGCAAGCATCAAAGAACTCCAGGATGCTTGCCTTCAGGATCAGCTCTGATCACAAACGAACAAACATCTTCGGTTAAGCTTCCTCCGTGCCAGGCCCCCCCACTCGTGGCAATGGCCTCTTGCTTTCTAAAACGGCTGGTCTCCGGTCCTTCAGGGCCTGCAAGTACCTCAGCCCGGTTTAGTCCGTCTGTCGTCTGACCGAGACTATGAGAGACTCATTTTAATGTCCGAAATGTGCAAACTCAGCCCTTGCCAAGCAACGTTCGCATGGCCGTGTGCATGAACTTCATCCTCATGTCCAGCAACTCTTTGTTTCCTGCAAGAAGAAAAGGATGCTGTGTGGCATCCGCGCAACTTTGGAAGCTCGACTCGTCGACTCGTCGTCTCGCGAAGCGTCGTCTCGTCCTTCAGCTCTGCCTAAGTTGGCGGGCAAATGGTGCGTCTATCCATTCGGAAAGCAAATGCGCAATGGTCTGCCATGTTCTAAACCTGCAAAACATTCTCGTGTTCTTAGCAGTACTTCTATTTCATCCCAGTGACTGGCTAAAAACAAGCTTGCTTCTCCCCCTTCTAATGCTGCACAAAGCTGCAATCAATCTCATCAAGTGCTTTGCACCCAATGTCTGCATCGAAACCGAGCGTAGACCACCTCGGCAGCAAACAAAGCTTGGCCAGAATTTACTGTTCCATTGGATAGACAAACCAAGCAACCGTGTTCGACTCCAAATGTCCTTGCACCAATCGGTCTTTGTTTGGTGCACCGTGGTGCAGTTGTGTTCACCAGACACACACCACCTTTCTAAAGGAAATCAGAACGAAAACCACACGTCCGACACCCACAAAGTCGATCCGCCGTTTTCCCCGAGATCCGCCACGGGCTCCGCACCCGGCTGGATCCCCCGACTCTGCTCGCTGCAGCTCGATGAGTTTGCGTCCGGCATGCGGCACCGCCTTCGGGTCCTGCAGAGCACGAATGGAGCTGCAAATCAACGGCGCGGCGTTCGCTCAAAGGGGCGGACCGAAAAGTGGAGCTGCTCTGGCCTTCAGCAGCTCTCGCGTTCGGTCGGTCTGCATCATCTTGATCTTGCAAGTGGTTCAGTGGAAGAAAGAAAGAAAGAAAGAAAGACAGAGCCTTCCGTGAAACATGAAGTGTGATCCAAACTTCCAAGGATCCAACCCCTGCAGAGAGGAAATCCATCATAGCCTTGCATGAAAGAAACGCAGCAAATCATGAAGAATCGAGGCCGAAAGAAGGCTCATCCGATTCACCAACTGTGCCAGGCCGGGCCTCTTTGGTTGGTTTGGGCATCTTTTCCGCTACAAAATCGCCAGAGTGGCCTTAAGTCTAGTCTCTCTCCAGCGTAGGGGGGGCTAAAGCGGCTGTGGGTTCGTTTCAGAACTTTGCTTGTGCTGTGGGTTTAGCTGTGTGTGGTCTTGTGATCTTGAGATTTGCTAGTTGTCTTGTTGACAACAAAAAAGAGTTCAGTAGAGTCGGTAGCCATAATCGGACATGTCCTGAATGTGATCCTGTGACATTGAGCAGTTTGGGCCAAGACGGCAAGCTCCGTCAAACAAACTCCAAACAATGTCACACACGCATCTGGATCGGCTGGAAAAAAATGAAAAACAAAACCAATGCAGTGGCCCACCCTATCCATCTTTGGCGCTTTCTTTGGCCCACACTCTTTGCCTCTGCTGACCAGAACTGCAAAGCTGACCAAATGATACCAGATCCTGTCTGCCATTCCTTTTTTCGGGCTTTCGCATCCACTCCTCCTCGATCTCCGACGCCGCGACACGCTCTCCTCCGCGCGTCGCGCTCTCCTTGGGCGTCGCCGCGCGTCCACCATGCGACAAGCAGCGGCTCGGCAGGCGGTGTGGCGAAGCGTCAGCAAAGACCTGGGAGAAAACGGTGTTTGGAGTCCCACTTATATACCTGGTCCAACTCAAGGAAGCCACCATCATCTGAACTGGATAAGGTCGAACTTGATTGGCAATTCACCTGTGAAGCTTTAAAGAAAGATTAATAAAATTGAGAAAGATGAGTGAAGTATGACAGATTCTCGGTGCGCACCAGGCGTGGGCGCAGCGAGAATGAAGGCGCGCCGAGAGAAGGCGAGCCAAGGGCGGGCCATTCCACACGACCCTGGCGGGGTTTTCTTGGAAGCGGTTCTGACACTCGGCTTTCCTGCTTTTCTGACCTTTCATGGTCTTTTGACCCTTTCTGTGACCTCTGAAAAGGGGGACTGTCTGTGACCTCGTGGACTGGCTCAAGTTCGGTCACTTGGAAGGTCCTTGGTAGTTGCACCCTTTACTACACAGCCATGTTAACAAAGGTTATTCGACTCCGCCTCCTCCTCGATTTGCGCAGAGCAGGAGGACAGCGTCGAGACAGAGCACTGCCGTGGCAGGGCCTGGCGTCGTCGGTCGCTCGACCGAGGCTCCGCCGCTCCGGCGACCGAGGCGACCGAGCCTGCCAAGTCTCTTTGTGCCAGCCAAATGCACCTGCAAAGAGGCACACGTTTGGAACCAAATGAATAACACTGGCCGACACAGAAGCCGTGCCAAGTCTCTTTGCTTTGGCAACCACTCTCTCAACTCTCCTCTACCACACAGCACCGTGTTAACTTCACAAAATGCTGCAGAATTGGAAGCTTCGCACTGCCGAGATTCTGCAACAAATCCACCCGATCTTTGCACCTTCGAGGGCATAGGTCAACCCGGCGACGCAGCAGCAGTCATTTCTCGCCTCAGCAGGAGTCGACGCCGCGTTTTTGGAACAGAAAAGTGGGAGGAAACACTGGAGGACCCTGCCTTTGAGAGGAGGTTTGAGCTGATTGATGGTATAGACATGGCCTCCGGAAAACCGCACTGCCGGATATTTGGAAGGATGTATTCGGACTGAGCTACAGGCGGACACTTCCCCTCTGGGAGTCCTGCAGCAAAAAGTTCTTCACCACACAATCGAAGTGGTCCAGGAATTTGGAATCTGAAAAAGAATGAATTAACTAGGACGAAAAGCATCGGACCTCGGGATGATTAGGATTGCATTTTTGTTCACTGATCATATAGAGCAAAGCACTGATCACTCAGTTGAATGCAAACACGGATTGCATCCGAATCTTCAACTCAAAGGACTGATCATCCAAAAAGCGGACCGAATAAGTGATGTTTAGTGTATTCTGGTGGAAACCGCTTCCTTCAAGAAGCACAGACTGAGCACTGGTTCAGACTACTGTACACTTGCCATGAGCTGGCTCCTAAAATCTTTGGAGAGCAACTGGGTCCTGTGAGCAAGCCATGAAGGTCTACAGACTGCCTTCGCCATCTTTGGGAATGCATTCCATGCGTCGATTGAAACCAGCTCAGTAGTGTTGTTCCATGTCTCAGTAGCGTTCCTGATTCTTCTCTCTGTTGATCTGAATCTGTGAGCAAAGCGCAAAGCGCTCTGAATTTGTGAATCAAGCAGTTCACGCCAAACCAAACACCTCCAAACCAAAACACTTGCCATGTTCCAAGCATGTCTCTAAACTATTCAGATTCTGTTCCTTTCTAGCAAGATCAAAGCTCCTTGGCTCCTTTTTTCCCGTCTTTCTGGCCTCAACCCGTGCATCACCGGTGGCGTTCGCCACCGCGTCGCGCTGATCCCCGGGCACACATCGAAGTGCTTCGTCCGCGCCGACCGTGGTCGTGTTCCGGGTCGCGCCGACGCTCTCGATGCCGCTCCAAACGTGCGGGTCGTTCGGCTCATCGTAGCTCCTGGTGCCGGGAAGAGAGTATCAGTGGCAAGAAGCTCCTAGTAACAAGTGCATCGCTACTAGTAGCAAGAAGCTACTACCTGGAAAAATGGCACTCGCAGCATTCGCATTCGCCAGTATGGCTCTTGGTGTTCTTCTTTCTCCTCGGGTAGCATCTCCTCGGGCAAAGTTGCGGGCAAGTCCTGCGAAGTCGCTATCGTGCAGCTCGTGGCGACGGTGGGGTGACCGGCTCATGTGGAACAAGGAAGTGGCTGGATCCGGAAGATTGAGGCCCATGCCCTCATTCCCTACAAGTCGCACCAGTCAGCTTGTGGTGACATTCATTCCCCTGCCTGTGTTGACTTGCCCCCATTATATGACCGTCAAATGTACTAACATGTACTAACTAAACTAAGCCATCCCAAATGCTTTTGTGGTTTGACCTCCTGGTTGAAAATTGCTTGAGTGGAGATCTGTCGGAGTTTACGTGCCTTAAAGATGTATCAACGATATCAGAACCTCGTTGTCATTCATAATATCATTGTTACCGGAAGAGATGTGTCAAGGAAAGACCATACAACTGAGATTTACTTGGGGTGGTTGGGGGCCTCAAGAGGTTGCTGTCACATCTACATTGTCACGTCATCTTCGTCACAACATCATCTGCACGATCACAACCTTGTTCAATGTCTTCTCCAAAAAGGGATGGGAACTGTTTTGCAACTGTATTGCCGCCAGCTTTCGACACTGCCAGCCAGACCATCTTTCCACGGAACATGAACACATGTTCTTTCGAATGCACCCATTTAAACCAGAAACAACACACGCTTTGGTAAAGATTTTACTATGTTGTGGGAGTTGTCATAATTGACACAACCACGCAGTCCGTTTCGAAACCTGTCAGGTTGTTTGCTCGCATGAAGTTACTTTATATAATTAGACTCAAACAAGAAAGAAATTATGCACAAGTACCTTTGTGACAAGCTCTAAGTCTCGAATCCTGTCCTCGCCATCCAGCTTCATTTGAACCAAATGCATCGCCAACGCATATTCCGGCAGTGTGAGGAAGCCGTCCTCGCCAAGCACCGCTGCTTCGAGCTAGCAACAGGAGCAACAGCATGTTTCAGCCGGCGTGGCTGGGGGAGTCTACTGACACCCCAACCCAGGAAAACTCAAACCCAAAAACCGGAGGTTCTCTAAAGCATTTGAAGTCAAGAACCGTATCGTGTTTCACGTAGCACGGCCAGTTTGACATCTCTGATCAGACCCGCCCGAGGAACACCGTTGGTCGCTGTGACCCGCCTTGTCAACGTCTGCTAAAGTCCAAATGCGGTGAAGCACATTGGACGGCAGGTGGCTCTGGCAGCATTCGAGCGTTCCGGAAAGAAACCAATGGGAAAGAAGATTCATTTACAGAGACGCCGCTGTACAAGAAGGTTTTGCTGCTGATCTGATAGTGATCCACATTCAATAAACCAAACACCCAGCTTCCAGTTCCGGGATTCTTCGGCTGCTTGGGCCAAACGCGCGCCTCCACCATCTTCTGCCGTGCCTGCTGAGCAGTGATCTTGCCATCTTTAGGGCCAATCGCCTCGAAGTCGGCCTCTGTCGTTCAGCCCGGGAGCGGATTCGATGGATCTTCACTGATTATAAATCACAGACGCGAGAGCTGTTCAGCTGCTCAACAACACGGATGGTAGTTTCACAAGGTCACAGTGAGTGAAAGACCTCCATATTGGGAACCCGAATCTGTGCTCCAAGAAAGAAAGAAAAAAAGAAATGCACATGGCACGTGGTTGGACCCAATTCCAGCCGTTCTTTTCGCCTGAAAACTCGCAACCGCTGGCGGCGGAGTGCTGGTCAGGCCCTTAAAGGACTGATCCGTCACCACGCCGAGTGCTCCAGCCTGATCCGTCGACTCACCGAATGAACTCGGACGGTTCTCGTGTTCTGAGGTGATTGGGCCAGGCGCTGCGCGAAGCTGCACCGGTGCGCTGCGGTACTCGCGATTTCGTGAAAGGTGAAAGCGATTTCGTGGTGAAAGTGGGGCCTGCACCACCGAATCATCTTGCACTTCCTGCGGTTTTTTCGATCGATCGACCAAGTTGCAAGAATCAGAATCAGAGTGCAAACAAGGTCGCTTGAGTATGTTGGTGTTAGAGGGTTCCAACTCAGGCGACCTTCACCTTAACCCCTGGAGAGACTTGACTAGAGCCTCTGTCGCCTCTGTCTGCTTTGCCCCCTTGTTGGAGACGTTGGGGACGTTGAGTGCAGGGACATGCAAATACTGAAATGCGCAAAATGTTGCTAAAAGTTCCCTTGCCCAAATGAGGTAGCATGCTTGGCATACTGCTGATTCCAGCCCACACCTGCCAACATAGATTCCTCCCCGTTCTTTGTCCCTATCCCCCTAGAAACTAGCTTCGTCGGCTTGGTCCTCCGGGATCATCTGCACCAACTTGGGCAAATCCACTGTGAGCAGCGTCTCCAAAGCCTCAGCTGGTGTTGCCAAAGCTGTAGAGAGCGTTTCGCAAGTCAAAAGCATTCAGCATTCATGTGTTAAGTAAAGGAAGAGAAAGATCTAGAAAGTGCTTTGCTATGCTTTGCTTGAAGTTGAAAGCCATGTCTTGTCTTCAGTCAAGTCAGAATTCATGTCCTCGGGAATTGTTGGCAAAGCTCGCCTTTTGGTGGGCTCCCTTCCTCATCTTCCTCTCCCTCCATCTCCCTCATCTCTCCCTTCCTCTCTCTCCCACCTCCAGCTTCGCAGGATCCACCGGCTTGAAGCTCGAGAAGTCCATCGGCGTGAGGATTTGCTGCGAGCGAGCCCGACGCGTCGTGCGAGCCGGCGCGAGCACAGGTCGTCGTTCGTGACGGTCGAGGGACCTCGGTTTTCCCAGTCCCATCGGCGCGCCTGCATCATGCGAGGGTCCGGAAAATCGCCCAAGGGAATGCCCTTCTGCACCGAGATCTGAACCGCAAACGGGCGGAGCGAAGGAAGGCCAATTGGTCGTATCGCGTGGATCTGACCCACGTGCGACGTGCTGTGTTTCAGCCCCACCTCTTTGTAGATATTTTGCAAATCTTGAATCATGCGCTCTTGCTCTTTGGCGTGCCCAAAGAAGGTCGGCATTCTTTGATAGAAATAGTCCTGGGGTCTTGGGAGCGAGCGACAAACTCGTGGCACAACGTGACGAGTCGACATGTCATTCGAGGACCAAGCCAGCAGCAATGCATGCACCTTCGCCAAGCGTGCTCGCTTGATCAAATCCTCAAGCCGACCCACTGAAGCAGTCTGCAAGGAGCATTGACAGCGGTAAGACTCCCAAAAATAACTGTATCATGCTTTTCACAAGGACTGCATAACGCTTTGCTTTCAATTCTATCCGGCCATAGATCAAACCCAGGAAAGTTGGTTGAACCAGTTTCTTCCCGTGAAAAAAATGGCATGGACTAACACAGACTAATCAGACCTGCCGTGATTCTGGGAGTTCAGGTTTTGATCAAAACCCATCTCAAGAGGGAGGACATGCGACAACCCATTTTAGGGATCCCTGCATTGACTTTGCGCAGCGACGCACTTCGCGGCAGCTGAGCAATTCTGGTGTAGAGGTCCTTCTCCTGCCGTCGCACGCGGGCGTCGTAGCGAGGGCGATGGCGTCGCAGGGCGCTGGGCGACGGCGCTGGGCAAAGGCGACGACGCAGCTCCTCCTGCTCGAACAGTTCCCGAAGCTTTTCGTTCTTCAGAGGCTGATCCCAGAAGGATCCTCGGCCATTCTTGCAGCGAAAGGTGGAAGTCTCACCTGAAAAACTTATTCTTCCTGTCACTGTCCCCACACCATCTTCCAAAATCACCCGCAACCCCCAAATACCGAATTTTGTTAAACATCAAATCCATCAGATCCCCCGCCACTTCGCCCCAGGCTCCAACATAGACCCGTGCCACTTCAGGCGTGTCAAGCACCTTGCCCAAGGACCACATCAAGGCCTTGGGCCCGACGAACACCGCGGCGGAACGAGCGACACGCGGTTCCGCGACACGCGCTCCGCTGCCCCGCGGCGGTCCGCGCAACAGAGGCTCTAGGCTCCCCCGGCTCCATAGACTCGCATCAGCTGTTGAGTGGTCACATTATCTGCCTCGTTCGACAAAGTGCTGATCTGTTTTAGTTCGTTTCTTTTTTGGTCGTGAAATACATGAAACATACAAAAGAAAAGAAATTGCCTTGTTCAACAAAATGCTGATCTTGTGGTCGTTGCCTTTGGTGGCTTGGATCACCCTCCTCAAGAGTCAGCAACGTCTCCGAGCCCTGGGGAAGCGTCCCGGGGCAGCGTTCCCGCACCACGACGGGGAGAGAAACGGGACTCAGCTGAGTCCTGTCCTGAACTCATCGCTAATGTCCAGCTTGGAGACATCAAACAAGAGGATGATCATATCCTTGGCACCCCAAAAATAGAACACGCCAAAACCGCCAAAACCCATTGGCCAAGAGCCAAGGCACCACGCGGTCAGCGAACCACTTCACGACGGCTTCAAATTCATAGCCCCTGCACGGAACGGGGGCATTTGTGGAGGTCCTTTTCATGTTGTTTTTCTTTTAAGGGACTGTACAGAATGGAAACTTGGGGGTGCCGCTGGAACTTCTCACGAAGACTGCACCACTAGTGACTATATAGTGTGACTATAGTCTTGCGTTCAGGAGTGCCAAGCGCCCATGTATGGCTCCAAAGTGCCCCACAGGTAACACCGCAAAAGGAAGAAGAAAAGAACCAGAAAAGGCTACAAAGAGTGCTTCTTCGCTGCGCACGCGGTTCTTTCACAAGACGGTTCAGGCCTTTTGATCCGTTGCTTTTCACCAGAGAGGACACCCGGAGTGTCGATGAGAGTTAGCCTTCACATGGCGCATGTGACACCAGGAACAACATCTTGGAGATTGGGGTACGGTCGGAAGCAGGTTGACTTGTCTCCTCACCTTGTGACAATTTCAAAAGACTTTTGAGTTGACTTAGAAGGAATCCAGCTTTCACTGAGACAAGTAGACCCTCAAACTCCCCCTCTCTGTTGCCCTAGCAGTGGTCTCTTAAGAAAGCTTCACAAGACCGAACTCGCAAATGGTCAGCTTCGGAATCCGTTGCAGGATGAAAAGGTCTTTGTCGGAAATCCTCTCCGTTGTGCAGGTTGCATCAGATGTGACTTCTTTGAGAGGAAAATGGTCTGAAATCCGATGCAGGTCTTGTGAGGAGTGTCACTGTCAACTGGCATTCGCAGCACACAAGCAAAATATGGGATCTGAGGTTGCTACCTTCCGTGTTGCAGCATGTTCTAGCTCTTTAACCGATCATTCCCAACTGGGCACCATACCCTTCCAGCACTTGGCTTGGCAATCTGGATGCTTCCAATCTGCTGAGGAAGGAGTTGCCAAAATGGCTCAACCTGCGCAGCTTGGACCTCGAACCTCTCACGGGTTCGTGGCCAAAACATGTCGGACTGAGGCTTTCACTGCGTGAATGGCAGCTCATGGTCCACCACTAAGGCATTGCCAGGTATCCTGGCCGAAGCGTCAGCTGAGAGGCTGCACGTACGTAGGAGCTACTCAACAGAAAACCTTGAATCATTCCACCATCCCTCATGTAAGACTCATGTATCCAATGATATCCTTGGGTCTGGGATGAGCCATCTTGTCTTGTGTGAGGAGTCACATCCTGTTCTTACCTGTGACAAGCTATATTAAAGAGAAAATGCCTTGTACATCTTGCCTTTCGATCCGTTCACGAAAGCTTTCGTTCAGACTCAACTCAACATGGATACATCTAACATCATCCAAGCATGCCAGCCAAACGTTGATTCTGACTCTCCGTGAAGGACACACACAAAGCGGTCAGTGGTGGGCTCGGGACCAATTCGCATGCCAGGAAAGTCCCGCTGGAGAAGATGTCGTATGAATGTCGTCTTCCCTAGTGGGAGGTGCAGGTTGGCAATAGGTCGTGTGAAGTTCTTGCCAAGAAATGCGAAAGTTCGTGCCTGTTGAATATTGCCCCATCAGCAAAATCATCGGTGCAGAAGCAAAGTCCGCATCCTAACAACTTCATTTGGGATGCAAAAAAGCGTTTATTGGAGAGGATTGCTTTCCGCGCAAAAAAAGAGAGGAACTCTAAACGCAACAGATGTCTGCCAGGGGTCGGTGAGCTCAGGCGAATAAAACTGATGAAAAAGGTGCTCTTTCTCAATGGGCAGCAGCTTGGTCCGGTAAAAGCCCTGTAGACCCGCCGTCACCGAGTCATAGACCTGGGACGCCTAGAAGTGGCTTCGGTGCGTGCTAGAGCGTGCTCCAGGGCTTGAGCTTGGTTGTGTGTTTGCGAACATGAACATGGAGGGCTACCAGATGTGCCAACCTACCATTGGAATCCATTGGATGGGTCCGACGTTTTTACCAATTCCCGTATATATCCTTATATATCCATATATGCCTTAGGTCCAATGTTTGAAGGACATGTGTAGCTCAGCTCTCTGATGTCCTGGCCTTCGCGGCATTCTCTTTTGAATCCAGCCACTCTAACATGGCATTCTGAGAACGCAGCTGTCTGTGTGTTGCAAAAAGCTTTGCCATCTTTGCTCGTGTACAGGGACCAAGCAATCAAGAAACACTGGAGGACAAAAGAGCCCTTTTTTATGGATGGAGTTTTCAGATGTGTGGAGTGATAGCATGTTGTTTTTAGCTCAAAATGGAAAAGGTCTTGAAGAATCTTGGTGAGTTTGCGATCTTCGGCACTTGCTTCTCCACTGGCCTTGTGCGCCTTCAATTACATTCAGGCATTGAACCCGAATCAGGACTCAAGCACAAGACGGCCGTGAGCCATGATGGGTAGGGTCGGATTTCGAGCATCACGCATAGTGACATTCACACAGCAACCATCATGTTGGTGGAACGCAAGAACTTGACTTCTCTCTTGTTGTTCGCTGTTTTTTGCTCTCTCCCTCTCTCCTTCCCTCTTCTCTCGCCGCTTGGCACTCAATTTTGTGCCGGCCTCAGTCTCGTTGCACTTGCTCTTCTAACACCATACTTGCATACATTTATGGCAGCATTGTAGCTAAACTCGTCTGGCGGAAGGTGCAATTGCCCCATCCTCCTTAACAAGGCCAGTGCCAACTCCCATTTTCCAGTCTTCTCTAAAGAAGAAATGAGGGCATTGAACGAGACATCATCTTGGTTCATGTGCATCTCAGTCATGCTCCGAAACTCCTGCATTGCCATTTGCCATTTCCGTGATGCTGCACTTGCGCTGATTGCAGCATTGAAACTGATGGAGGTTGCTATGTTGCCCAAACGAATGCAAAATAAAGAAAGTAGCAAACATGCCGCTAGTTGCCAGCCCTTAGAATTGCGTCCCATGTTTTCACAGGCACTGATGGCCGCGTTGTGACAAACATCTGACATGTCAGAAAGTGTTGAGTATGCCAAGAAATGCATCGAAAGCTCCCAGTCATATTCCCCTATTAGTCCGCTGAGGCCGAACATGTCCAAAGGAAGCCGAAGCTGTTCCATTGCGACGGCAGTGCCCACCGCGACTTCCCAATTGCGGCGTTTCATGGCCGAGCTGAGCACAATATTGTGGAGACCCTCATTTGACTTGATACTTGCTGAGCAAGAAACTGTCAAAAGCCTTGCAGCTTCTGCCCATTTGGCTTCACAAGCACTGGCTGCTGCGCTCAACAAAGGGATGTCAACCTGAAAACCCGCACATCGTGCAGCGCGCAGTGTGATAAGAGCAGCTTGCCACTGATCAGGAGTCTCAAGAAACGTGGGAGACCTGACCCCATCCGTTCGAAGCTGTGCCATGTCTTGCATTTGCAAGGCCAGTGTCCACGATCCTGCTGATTTGCATGCTCTGGAGCAAGCATCGAAACCTTGATTTTTTTTCCAAAGAACCCTCTTCTGAGAGAATGCAAAGAAAGAGCTTGAAAGACAGTGACATGAGAACAGAGATGTTTGAGTTCCTTTATTGCTTGTTACGGAGCAAAGTTTATCGCGTAGTATACCACGTCTGGCCATTGATTCCAAGCTGGAGACTGATAACCTTGGGGCCGAGCTGGATGACAAGCGTGATGAAGCAACATGCCATCCTATTTGAAAGCATTGACCAGCACTGGTCAAAGGCAACCAAGCAGCTGCCAGTTTGAAGCTCCGAACGAATTGATGAAGGCACCATATACCCTCGCATTTGGCTGCACACTCCAAGCCTCAAACAAAACATGGCAGCTAAAAAGCTTGAACGCACAAAGAGACAAAGCGGCAGTGTCTTGTTGAGTCCAAGTTACCTGCATCACGCTGAATAAGTTGCTTCCAATGCGCCATTTCATGGCATCACCGCACTCGCGCACGAGCATGCCGAAATTCACCACATCCAGTCTTAGTGTCGCTGAAACCAGCGGGGCCTTCACTCTTCGAAAAAACGTCACACGAACCCGAAGCCACTGGCCTTCCCGTCCGCGGGGTGAGAGACACACCCTCTAGTTTCGCTGGAGACGGACCTCGAGACCTTGGGTGACCACCTGTCGGACCACCTGTCTAAAACCGTGTTTTTCCCTATTGAAAAGGTTTGAAAAGGAACTTGAAAAGGATTCAATTAAAAAAGAAACAACTCTTTCCCAGTTGGATGTCATCCTGTTTTCCCGTCGATGAATAGATTTCACAGAAGAGCTTGGACCACCGCAGGATTTGGTCAACAGGTAGCTTGAGGCCGCATCGTTGCATCCCAAGAACTTCTCCTCAACAGGACAACTACTTCATCACAGCGCCCTCCAGAGGTTTGTTTGAAACAGATTCTTGTTCATCCATGTGTCTTTTGGTGTTCTTAATCTAGGCCAGGTTGCTCAAACCCAAACTCCAACTTCCATGTGAGCTTCCAGAGCTCCAAGTCTTCACATCTTGCCGGATCATCACCAACTTCATCTCACCCAGGAGCCTCCAAGCCACTTCCCAGTCGCTTGCAGCGCGAGCTGAGGCGCAAGAAGCGCCACGAGCTGCGCAGGTCCCGGTCCCAGAGGTCCCGGTCCGAGCTCCAGAGCTCACAGATGCCATCAGCGCATTATAGGTGCTGGTCTTCGGAGCGAAGCGAGAAGCCTGGAGCTGCTGCAGCAAGCACATCGCACGAGGCCATGTCGATTCACCACCTGATAGTCAGGAAAACAAATGGCCTGGTCCACAAGAAAAGGCCGAAATCACCATGTTGTGCTTTCCAAACTTAGCAAAAGAAGCTTCAGTGACAAGGTGCTATGAAAACTGTTTATGACTGTGTTGTAGCTCACCAAACTAGGAGACACCGCATGGCTAACCATGCGCGTCAGCTGATGCACTGCTCCTTGCCAGGCGCGACTCCGCACACATGCGTTGATGCCAACATTCTCATGGATCACGTTGACTTCCAAGCGAAAGGCCACCATCGTCTCCAAGACCTGCGGGAATCGGAGCATACCGTCTTTGGGACCGTCTTTGGGGTGGTTACATGTTTATCATGATTATTGTTTATATGTATTGTTGTTGTTGTTGTTGTTGTTGTTGTTGTTGTTGTTGTTGTTGTTGACTACTTGAGGGCGAGGGTAGGTGACGAAAGCTAGCAGGGGTGCATCCGGACTGGTGGGACATCAAGCGGATTGAGGCAAATGCTCATGAGGTAAAACGTTGTGAACATGTAAGACACACAAACAGCAATGACACAGCCAACCTTAGAATTGAAGTCCCCGATAATTAAGGAAGCGTGGCTGGACTTTGCCACACTATTCGATGCATCCGATGTGTTTACGAACCTGTGAGCTTGTTGAATCTGTTGCACCGTATCCCAAAACCTCCACGGAGGAATTGAACCAAAGTGGATGCCATAAGAGGTGCCCAAGAGGTGTCCCAGAGGCAAAACAAAGCTGCTTGCATGATTTACTTGGTTTCTTCTATCAATGTCGATGTCATGAACCTGTGAGCTTGTTGAATCTGTTGCACCGTATCCCAAAGGAGTTAAACCAAAGTGGATGCCATAAGAGGTGCCCGAGAGGTGTCCCAGAGGCGTCCCAGGGGGGAGTTGAACCCACCGGGGGGGGGGGGCCCCCCCTACATATGAAGTTTTCACGTGATGCGGCGATCTCGAGGATTCCAGCCCCTCACTTGCTAAAGCAAGGACAACTCCAGCTAGCTGGTGCTAGCTTTCGTGATTATATAGTGATCCCAAATAGATGGAAACGGTTTCCCATACCCTTTTAGTGGGGATCTACGAACTTCTATCTATTTGGGGACGACTACGTGTGGCTTTGATGTGTCCTTCTAGGTGCATCAGTGGTGCACCCCTCGGGTGCATCACCTTGCACCATGTGCCGACGCGTCGCGTCGTTGGGCCTTCCGAACCGCTGCATGTCCTCTTGGAAGGACTTCGGCGAGAAGCAGGGTGATCTGTTTCGGATCATATATCTCTCCTGAGTTGGTGGAACATTTGAAGGCCCAAACAAGTCAGTCAGAAGGATAAAAGAGAGCAAAAAATCAAATAAAGGTAAGTTGGCTGCTGCCGATGTGGAAAAAAGAAGGCAACGGCGGCACCGGCCCAATTTTTTTTCTGTCAAAACGGGAGTCTGCACCAGGTCCAAGACTCCGGAGAAGACCTGTCTTGGATCACTTCCAACCCTGTCCCGCGACAGGACTGGGATCTCGAAAGCCATGGACCCAGTTCAGCGCACCGCCGCTGACGGCGGGACGACGCCATGGCCAGAGCGCCGCGAAACGCGCACGTCGCGCTTCGCAGACCGCGCGGAGCTCTGAGGGGCGCACCAAAACCGAGAAGAATCAGAACAGATTTGCTGGGTCTCGCCTGATCTGTGGCTGATCTGTGGGCCGACTTGCACATCAAGCCCAAAACATGCATTTTGTGATTCAAATTCCTTTAAAGCCAAGGTGAGTCCAAAGCAACTGCATTTCCTAAGACACACAAACAGTGCAGTGGGCAAGCATTTGGTGTCTTAAGTGTGATTACGCCATTACGCTTTTACGACGTTTGGGGATCCGGTGCAACATACGCCGTAACGCTTTTACGACGTTTGGGGATCTGAAGCAGTCAACCTCTACCCCGTTACGTCGTTATGCTTGTACGCTTGCCCTATGAAACAGTGACAGGTTTAGTTCTGCGTCATGGCAATCTTGCAGTACTTGTGTTGTCGTCCATGTCCAGATCTAAATCGCAAGATGGTGTCAAGAAGTAAGACGTTCATTCCAACTCATCGATCCAAACAGCTCCATCACTGGGTTGCCAGGACACATAGGCTTTACACATTTTGCAAGGCTGCTTGGTCCCAAACAAGGTGCATGGCTACGTAGCGCGCGCTGTCCAGCACCCTCTTCTCTCACTCACACTGCCCTAAGATCTTATGCATCGGTCGCAGCGGTCAGAAGCCCGTTGCACTTGTGGCACGTGCAACAAAAATGGCTCAAAAACATTGAGCTCAAGAATCCAATTTGACTCCTTGATCTGCCAGTGGTTCTTACGACCAATTGGGGCTCCCTGATGCTTCTGACCAGGTGAGATCTTCCTTGTGCCATGCTTTACCAGGTGAGAGATCACCAAAGCTGTAGATGAGGTCCTGGATTGGACTCTGACCCCACCCACTTTCCAGCGACCACTGCTTTAAAACTTAGTGTTGCGGTTGGAGTGGGACGTCTGCCAAAGCATCTCCAACATTCAAGGCATTGCATTCAGCATCAGGACATGTTCAAGAACTTCTCGCTTCAGAGTGATGTTCTTCAAATGCTCCGAGGCGGTGTTGTTGGTGTTGCAGGCGACGACGTCTGCCGCTTCACCTAAAAGAATATTGCCAGGTTGAGAGATCACCCATCCAGACTGTCCTCAGATCCAGGTCACTTCGGTCGGGTTTTGCATGTCTCTTTTGGGCCCTTTTCTGGGAGCACCTGAGAGGTTTGTTTTGAACTTGTTTTACATCCTTTCGGATCTGGGATGCTTCCTTGCTTTTTTCCTTATCCACATTGAATCTCCAAGTGTCCCCCGACAAGCATGCCCTGGCGGCATTTTGCGGGCGCTGGGCAGGATCTGCTGCCCAAAGCATTTAAGGCCTTGTAAGCCAGCCGACGGCCTCACAAAGCACAGGACACAAAAACAAGAATGGTGTCAATCAAAAAAAGTGTTCTACAGTAAAAGAGTAGGATAGAAAGAATCTTTGTTCCAAGGGCCCAATAAGATCCAAAAGTATGAAAGAATGTGGAAAAAAGGAGGTCGGCTCCCACCTGCACTCTTCGATGGATCACCAATTTCCATGAGCCGAGTCTTTAAGTCTGCCATGGAAATCGCCGGGGTGGGAATGTACACCAAGCGCCTGGTCTTGAGCTCCTGCTCCTGCCCAAGAAGAGCAGTTCTGGGGCCAGTTCACTCATGGGGTGAGAGTCCCCTGGGAGTGGCTGATTGTCACGCATCTCTTTGCCATTTGGCCGAAGTGACCAACCGTGAAGAGCAAAACGTTCCCCGTTCATGGATCCTTCATACCCCCCCAAAAGAAAGATATGCCGAAGAGGTTTGGACTCGACGACTCGATCCATCCATCCCATACCGGTTCGTAACTTCGTCGAACGGAAGTTCGTTCTCCTGGAAGGTCGACAAGGCCTCACCAACCGAGCACGGCTCGAACGCACTCAAACAGCTTGGATATTAAATGAATCGTACTGAATCCTGTTCCGAACCGCCAAAGCATATTATGTCTTTGAACGCAAAATGACTTGAAAAGCTGTGATGTCTGACCCAATGAATTGGAGCGACCCTGTTCACAAGAAAAGAAATAAAAGAAAGGAAATTCCCTCGGACTTCATCAACGATGTAAAACGCCTGGCCTGAAAGGTGAGGAGTTGAAGCGCCAGCGGTCGCAAGGCTTGGTCCGCCAGAGCCACAGCACGATGGAAGAGCGCTTGCGAAATCTCTGTGAGGCTGTTACAGGCCTTCTCCAAGTTCGTGTGATCAACCTCAGAAGGCCATCTGATCGTTTGGATGCTGAAGAAATTATCTGAAATGTTCTGAAATGCTGAAGAAATTTATCTAAGATCCAAACCGACACTTTCAGACCTTCAGGATCTTTCAGGGTTTTTCAGGTCCGATTTGTTGACCTATTGCGCTGGAGACCTGGATTAAAGTTGAAGAAGGGGCACTCCGAAGTCCTGGGAGGCCCAAATGGAATACCTCCGGAACGAAATACCACCATGGAACGATTTGCATCTGAGACGCCTGTTCGTCTCAGAACTAGTTAGAACTGGGGATCAGTGGATTAATTGACTAACTGGGGAAACCGCAGCATACATTCTCCGACTGTGTGGGATCAGCCTGCGATAACTTCAGCTCAGAAACAGTGTCGAGGTCAAGCTCTTCAATCAGATTTCCCACAAAGCCCTCGTCCTGCAACTCCATATAGTGAAGATCAGTGAGCCATGTTATTTCGTTTCTGTACTCATATTCACCACGGCTTCGATGGTCTAGCTTTCGACCCACTTCTCCGATCTGAAGAGAATCGAAAACATACTCTTCCTCCTTTCCTTTAACGTTTAGGTGATAGCTAGTCCAAAAATAAAGAGGGTTTTCCATCAAGGCTGAATGTTCTAAATTCTATATTCGTAAATATATATATATAATATGCTGATCAATATAGAATCACATAGACCGTATTCTGAATTATATATATATAGATCATTCTATTGAATGTTGCATTGGTTCCCGTCTCACACAGAAAACGCACAGCCTCCATGGCAATCTGCATGCGTTCCGCCGCTGTCACTGTTGCAGCCCATGCTTCCAACAAGGCCTGCCAACACCCCATTAGCAAACTTGTACTTAAACACAAGCTTAATCTTTACTTAAAATGGTCTGATCTACCAAGTACCGTGGTTTCCGACACCTGCTAAGTCGGAATCTGCCCGGAACCTGCGGCGAAACCGTCTTCGCCTCGCTGGTCTTCTCCTCGCTTCGTTGCAGGCGCTGCCAAATCTCATGTAGTGCAGATGTGTCGGCACCTGTCAGATCGCTCGGCTGGATTGGTTCGCCACACTGACAGTGGGACGAACCAAAAATGTGTTCTGATGTCCTTTTGGATGCACAACTTGGTTCTAGATTCCGTAGGCAGTGCTGCTGCTGCTGCTGTCTCCTGTGATGGATGTGCTTGTTTTTGGCGGGCAGAACACGGTGAAAACAAGGGACCCCCAAAGCGGGTGAAGGGATAAGCTCCTTGGCTGGGTAGTTCCTTACTTTGATGAAAGTGAAAGAAGGGAATCGCAAACCAACACTGTCTGTTCGAAGACCTCTATCACTGTGTGTTCTTTGGTGCGGAAGCATTCATGGTGTGCACAGCCAGTCACTTCCAGCCATTTCCTATTCCTCGCCTGCGCAATGGGAGAAGTTTCGGGCTAGGTTCAATGCTCGATCCGTTTCATCCAACGACTTCAGGTGCATCATAGTGAACATGTTGTGCTTCTCGTGGCTCCGCAGAAAAGATTCCAAGAGTGAGATCCACAGAGCCTCAGCACCACCTTTCCTTAGCCAACGAAAGCAGGGTAGCCCAAGATGGAAGATGAAGGTCGAAAGTACAAAAAGAAGGATGGAATATATAGGAAGGATTGTATGTCCAAATCGATCACCCTGCTCAGTGGCTTTCAATAATAGTTTTGTTTAACAAGAAGCCGTGCTGAGAAGGTGGTGTGCGAAATCCAACACTACAAACTTAGATAAACCTGAGCTTGAAGCAAAAAGTAACAATACATGTTTGCTAGCTCAACAAGAAGCTACTCAACTGGGACCATCCCAAATCCATAAATGCTACAGCCATGCTTATTGGCCTGCAATAAATGGCAACAAATCAAAGCTGAAACGCCTCGCCCAGCGTCACTGGGCGCAACATTTGCACGCGCAAGGACTTTGCTGACGTGGCCCGGCTGCGATGCGTCTGTGTTTGCACACCTCGGATTAACGAAAGATCGTAGCAAAACTTAGGAGACCAACGTCAAAACCGAGTTCACAGACTCAGACAGTTTGTAGACGTTTTGTTATGTCTTCAGATTCAAAATCAACCGCTGCATACGGTACCAACACCTTCCCTCCAAAAAGGCCTTTGCTCATCCACCAGGGCACGAAGAAACTCGATCTTTTCCCCAAGCTGTTTCCCAGCCACCTCCGATGTCTTCTGGCTCATCTGGGCCCGCACTTTCCCATGAACGGACTGGTGGAAGTGCCGCAACATGCCACGCATCCGCTTCAGCCGGAAAGGCCAGTTCTCCGACGACACGTTGAAGCGAACGGCCGCCAATTTGCCCAGAAGCCGTTCGCCGAAGTCCTGGTGCCAAAGAAGCAAATCGCGACTAGCGCCTCCGCTCAAGTCCTCGCCAAAGTCGGTGAAGTTCGTGGGGAAGAGCTCAGTTCGCATCTCTTCCAAAAGCTCCGAAGATGGAATGGCCACTAGAGCGGCGTTCTTGTTTCCTTCCTGCTGAGGATTCTTAAGATGGAAGTGAAGTCACAGCATTCAATGAGTTGTGTATGTTGTTCCTATACTTGCAGCTCATAGCTTGCCTTCTTAGGGCCTATTGACAACAAATGTGCATGTGGGGACAAGTGCACGAGACTAAGAGTATGAAAGTGAAAGTTGGTCTTCGTGTCACTGCAAGAATGAGTTGTTGCATGGATCTTCAGCAACACAAGAGAATCAACCATCAACTGCAAAAGCCAGCAGCGCTCATTTGCTGCAGCCGCAGCGCAGCAGCGGCGGTGGTTTGAGGAGGTCACACGAACAGAAAAATGCGCTGAAAATACACGTGACAAAAAAACACGTTCCTCGTTCAGCAGAGGTGAAAGAAGGTTTGGGAGTGGTGAAAGAACGTGATGAGTCAAATGAACCCGAGAGTGCTGCGTTCAGAGCTGAGGGGCAAAGCCAATCTGTGAGAGTTGGTGGTTCAGATTCGAGCTGCATTCTCCACTCTTGAGGTTTTCAAAAGTGACAACCGCTGATAACAGCTGGCTGCGTGGAAAGACTGGGCTGCCAGTGCTTTTAAAGAAGAGAGCGATTCAGCGTGTCAGCCACGGCGGCTTGTGGGAACTGAAGGAGGTGGAGAAAACCGAGGCCGCTCCGCTTGGAATTTGGGCGTGTTTTGCTGCCACGTTTTGTCCTGAGCGATTTTGATCCACCCCGCCCGGATCGATGAGTGGATCATTTGTCTGGCGGGTTTTCGCTGCGAAATTCTGCGCCCTTCTGTCGCACCCCCTGAAGGAAGGGGGGGCGCGAATGGAAACTGAAGACCTACAAGTAGGAGTTGGAAGGATGAACATGAACTTTACAAGCTGCTTTCGCTGTTCAGTGGGCCTAAAGGGCTTTGGGCCTCCACAGCAGAAGCAACCTCGCCTTTTGCGTGATCTGCCAAAGAATGTACTTGGTCTGGTAGTTGAGGAGTGCTTCGATGTTCTGCATCAGTGTATCATGTGAATCTTGGAGGCTTGAAAGGACTGCCTGGGTGCCCTTCCGCACGGAGTCATGCACACAAAACAAGTCGCACATCACCTTGGACAAACCCGCTTGCAGAGGAATACAGTCTTTCAACTTGGCCTCTGCCATCTTGTCTTTGTTCTTGCTCACCTGAGCAGTGTCACTAAGTGAGTGAAACAAGAGATCAAAACCTCCTGCAATTGGCTGACACAAAGAGATCGGTGGAAATCTTTGCTCATCTCCTACATCGACTGGCCAAGCGCCAAGCCGCGCCTCTTCCAAGGTGACTGGAGGTTCCATCTCTGGCATGGTTTCCTCAAATAGACCCGCGCTGAGATTCTCCATGGAAACCTCTGGCACCTTCACGCCAGCGCTGTCCAAAGCCTTCTGAATCAAGTCCTGCCAAGTTTGTGATTTCGATAGAGAATGAACACCATCCACAAGGGAAGCTGCTTCTGGGGAACCAACCTCGCCTGATGCGGCGCAATGAGTCCATTCACCTTGTCAAGCTTCGATTGCACTTTCGCTTGAAGCTGGTCCGCATAGCTGTTGGCTTTGTTCTCAAGGTCCTGTGCAAAGTTTTTGGCCTTGTTTTCAAGGTCTTGCGCCATGGTCGTAGCCTTGTCTACCCATCTCGTCACCCGGGCCGGCACCAGCTCCCCTGCCTGACCAAGTGACACAATGAACATGAGGTCTGCGCATGAAGTGAATCGTGCGGCGTGCAAAGGTCGGTGACCTGGGTGGGTGTGCAGCAACAAGTGATGTTGAAATCGGCATCATGCCCCCCCATGTCTTAGTGTTCCCATGTCTCGATGGGGATGAAGAGAAGGAAAATGCACAAGAGTTCTGCAGTTCTTGTGTTTGACAAAGCAATCGACATGCTACAGATTCCTCTGTAGGTATGCCTCAAAAACGAAGGGCGCAACAAAAGAAGAAAAAGACACAGCCCGGAAGACCTCAATTTGCTCGGGGAAGTTCGTACATATTTCCGGGGTGTGGAGGCGTCAGGATCTGAGTTTGTGGGAGTCTGCCCTCTTTCTTTCTTGTAGCCGGGAAGAGACCGGGGACCAATTTGATACCTTATTGCTCTGTCGCCTCCAAAGCACATTGTTTGTCCAGCGTGGGCCTATCTTGAATTCGCTTTCTGCGAGTCCTTATCTCCACACAGAATCCTAATGCTGGACATGAGGAGTTTGGGTTAGCTTTTTCGACTTGCTTGAGGAGCTTTGCTTTAGCTGTTCAAACCAGTTATAAACTGTGGTTGGCGTGGAAGTTCTTGTTGTGGAGATTTGTCCACTTTGACTGTCATCCTAGGTTTATCCTTGCTACAGCAAAGGATTTCACATCACCCCTCTTTTTGTTGAATTTTGGTAAGAGTAAACCGCTACAAGAAGGATTGTGCCAAAGACTACAGCTACAAGCACGTACCAGCTACAGGACGCTTGTTCCACGGAAGATACACAACCAGCCAACAGACTGTTCAGTTCTGACGTTGCCAAAGCTCCAAAAGGAAAGGCTGTATCTGGCGGTGCACACCCCAACTATACATACTCTTGGTTGGAGGCCATTGCTAGTAGGCTGGAGGCCATCGCTCTTAGGTTGGAGGCCATCGCTAGTACGTTGGAGGCCATCGCTATTCGGGTGGAGGCCATCGTTGGTAGGATTGCTATTAGGTTGGAGGCCATCGCTAGTAGGCTGGAGGCCACCGCTATCAGGTTGGAGGCCGGTTGGAGGCCATCCTTAGTACGGTGAATGCCAACGCTTTTAGGTTGAACGCCATCGCTATGAGGGTTGGAGGGCATCTTTGGTAGGTTGGAGGCCATTGCTATTGGGTTGGAAGGTTGGAGGCCGTCGCTAGTAGGATGGAGGCCATCGCTATCAGGTTGGATTCCATCGCTAGTAGGGTGGAAGCCATCGCTCTTTGGTTGGACTGGAGGCCATAGCTAGTAGGGTGGAGACCATCGCTATTAGGTTGGAGGCCATCACTACTGGGTTGGCGGCCATCGCTCTTAGGTTGGAGGACATCGTCAGTAGGTTGGAGGCCATCGCTAGTAGGTTGGAGGCCGTCGCTAGTAGGGTGGAGGCCACGCTAGTTGTTGAAGTGACTCATGCCCCCACGTGCCTTGCCAAGTGCCCAATCTTGCAACGCTGCTTCTTGTTCTTCTGCCGACATCGTGGCGAATTCCAGCAGCTGAGCTCTTATTGTCTCCTTGGTGAGTTCCATGGTGTTACAAGGAGCACGGAAACCGAAACAGTTTCCCTCCAAGCGCGTGGAAAGTTTGTACAAACCGGGTGGGTAGTTGGGTAGTTGGGATGTGTTGATGTCCTCTAAATGAATTCTGCACCCATGGACATGGCCCATGGATCCCTCCCGCCCCAAAGTACATCGTCCAAGCATCCCACGAGAGGCGTCCCGTGTTCTCGGCGCCCGTCTTCGCCGTCACCGACGAGCCGCCGGGGAGCCAGGCCACTGCCGCAGAGACGCCGAGCCGGATGAGGTCGTTCGTCAACTCGCTCCTCAACAGAGACCCCGACCAATGAGACAAGGACGCTGAGGCGATCATTGTGAACCAGGAAAAGGTTTCTGAAACGCATTGACGCGTTGGACGATCGCATGTTGTCCATACAAAATCGCAGAAAAAACACTGCGACACAGTCAACCACCCGCCAAGCGACCACATAATGTCGGGACATCATGTTTGGCTGAGGCCCCGGCTCAGTAGCTTCAACTTCCTCCTCGGCGTTGACCTCTGTCGTTTTGGAGTCCGCCTTCTCAACCACGTACTCTCGCACACTCTCACGTTTGTTGCACTTCCAGAAATCCTGACATTCATGAAAGCATTCGACCAAACCCCTTGCAAACTGCACGAAATCAAGAACCAAATCGTCTGGCAGACTAGGTCTGCACGAAAAGTAATAACAAGTTTCCTGCTCGGTGATGCCTTTTGGGAGACCTTCCATCGGCGGATCCGCATTGAAGGCGTGGTAGCATGGGTTGCTCTCCGCCATCGAACCAGAGAACAGGTCTGGGTTTTGCAAAAAGAAGGGGTCGCAATACTCTTCATAGTCCTAACTCGCAAGTCACAAGACTAAGAAGATTCCAAGCACGTCATGAGGTATTTTTTGGATCTTTTTGGCAGATCAATTGGGCGGAAGTTTCAATGCACAATATTAACTGTGGGGTTGCTTTTTGTGTGTTGAACAAACACAATCGCTGGTTGAGTGATTGAAAGTCACGTGATGATGTTCGACGTTGTTGGACGGTGTTGGTGCCATGATGCATGCGCACGATGCACGATGCACGATGCACTGCATCACCGGCAGGCGCAAATTTTTTCAATTCCAGTGAAGGCCTTTTGGAAAGCCGGTTTTGGAGGCTCACCTTCCCTAAGAAGATTGCCAAGCACTACACGCACCCCCTTTTTTTTGTTTCGATCCGACGTTCGCATGTTTTTTCCAATTCCGCCGCTTGAGAACACAAGAGCTGGCATTCCTGCATCTCACCTGCGAAGACATCAGAACGGTTCACACTGGAAGTCGTTTTCAGGAGGGGAGCGGGGGCAGCGCCAGCACTGCCAGCGAAGGCGTCGACCTTCTCTGGCTATGCATTTGGAGACGTCCTGATGCGCACATGCCATGATTGCCTTTGACTTCCTCTTTGGCTCTGCTGTCTAACCAAGTAACTAAAACAAGATGGCCAGCCTTTGCATCTGCTTTGCAAGTACTGGTCGGTCGATCGCGACTGAGACAAACCGCTCCTTCTTAAATTTAGGATGTTTGGACAACGCTGCGCGTTTTACTCAGGCTTCCTTCTGCACCTAAACTGCTCTGAAGGGCGCCACTGCGCTTGGTCGTACATATTAGTTTCTCGAAAAGCGCGAACATAAAAACTATCAGTGGCAAGTCACCAGGAAAAGGCCCGCGCGTCCAGCGTCCACACCCACAGTCCACACAGGAGAGGTAATGTCCCACAAATACCTGCCCTGCCCTTAGCAAATCGAATAATGTTCCTCCAAAGTCACAGTGTGACTGGAGCGGCTCAAGGAAATTGAAACCTCATCGAACCTGCATCAAAAAAACCTGCCGAAGCAATCCTGGCCGCTCAAAACAAAAACCAGGGTCAATAACATGACACAGGGTGTTGGACCAAATTGGAAGCAAGGCGTCTGGAACCAAAGGCACAGGCATCAACAACATGTAGCTTTTCTACGACCAAAGCAAGACGGTCAAGACACCGTCGCAGCACGCCGTGTTGCAGCAAAGCCGACTGAAGTGTCGAGCTACACTTGTTCGCCCAGCTTCAAGATTTGGGGCCTTTTGTTGCGTGCGCAAGTGAAACAAAAGCACTCGCGTTCCGCTTGTCATGTTACGTGGTGCGCCAGTATCTTTCCATTGATGAGCACAAAAAAGGGCTTGAAACGAGCCATTGGTATGTCGTCGCTTCGCCCCGATCTCCCTGAAAGTGACAATGCTGAAGGAGGCAGCTAGAACACCCGCACAGGAGCCTTCAGAGAAACTTACCCATAACAAGTTGCAATCAACACATGACAGTCTATTGCTGTGTGACATTACCCTTTGAACTCAGCACACCCACGCCCCAATTTCATTGCACCACGGCCTACAACCCTTCTCCTGCGCAACGCTACACTATCTCTGTTTCAATTTCCCATGGCACTGTGCAACATCCTGACACTTCCTACCACCGCCTTGCATATGTATTCTCAGCTCTCCAGCTCCATTCCACGAGCGCAATGCACAAAATACCTCAGCCGTCCTGGGGACTGTCCGCAAATCTGTCTACCGAAGTACCTGTGGCATCCTGACTGCTCTCTTACACACGCACGGTCACGCGCAGCGGACTGCAAACTCGGAAGTTTCTGACCGACGCTTATTATTACCAAACAAAGGACTGAAAGCGTATCTACTGCCAAGACGAGTAATCCGGCTCACTGGCGTGGAATTCCTTCAGCTTGGGATACTTGGGCTCACCTCCCGCTGCCGAAGCCTCCACTTTCGAGCCTATCAAGTACTGCGCGCGAAGGTCCCGGATGGAGGTGACAGAGAAACGCTTTCCGGCAAGGCCCACGGGCGAGACCTGACTGCTGTTGATCTGAGCGTGGACATGACCCAAGGGCTCCCGCAGCTCCCAGGCAGCCTGAAACTTATTCCACTTCAATTCCCACGGGCTGTGATCAGCCGAACGAAGAGAGATGCTGCCCAGAGCCCTGATGTTGGTTCTGGTGTAAGTAGCGCTGCCCGTAGATTGTTCCATCGAACTGGGGCAGTAATACCCCTCAAAAGTCTCGTAACTCTGACCAATGGTGTCGAGAAGCGTCACCCCGAGCTCTTTCTGCAAGCCACAGCAAGAGAGTTTGAAGCTCCCAGCACCAAAGCTCACTCCTCCCACCACCTCTGCCATAGCACAGCGCGAAGACTGTAAAGGCTTGCAGGTGGACAACAAGGGCGTCTCTCGGCAAAAGAGGAGAAAGTGCGTGGCCTCTGTAGGGCCTCCTGGACCATCCTTGCGACCTTTTACCGGGACGCCCGGCAGATTGAACCAGCCACTCACCGCGCTCCCAGGTGGACAGAAGGCAGATCCGGAGCCCTCACGGTGCGTGGTCTCCTATGGACAAATGGAACTGAGACCAAAACAAACAGAGAGACCGGGACCTGACTATATGGGCGCTCAAAAAGATGAGCATCTTAAGGCGCGGGGGAAAGCACCCTCATCACTTGGCTACAACTTCTACTCACTCTTCAGAAACCTCAAAAACTGTAAGTGTAACGCAAAGAGCTGCCACTCTTGGATGTGAATCTGGGACATGGTGACATGGACGTGGCAATTCTACACCCAGCAGCTCCAAAACAGCCAAGCTGGTCAGACCGACCCCAAAAGAATTAAAATGAGTTTCACAGTAAACTCTTTGTGGAGTCGGAAGCCTACCAACACAGCCAGCACTGCGACTCTTCAACAAACGTTGCTCCGGCTCCTTCCCTGCGTTGATATGAACGCAATGGGGTTGGGACTGTCCCGTGGAAGCAACCACAGCCCCACTGGGGCACCTCAAGCCCCACATTCCGGCGCCGCTTGGTGGCAAGCTCAAATAACCCACTTGCTGTGGGTTCTTACCCTTTGAAGGGTTGAAAGAAAAGGGTGCCTGCTGAGCTGCTTGTTCATCAAAAGAGGTGCTGTAGTAGGCCTGGTTCTGAAGCATACTGAAGGCCTGCTTGGCTGTCATCGCAAAGTCCTTGGGCCGGTTAGGATCCGAGGTCGGCCACAAAACGGGGCAACTAGTCTCGATCATCATACTGCCGGCAACACGGCCAGTCTCAGAAGACGCGTCCATGATGTAGCCCGTCATCTCGGAAAGGGTCACACGGGAAATGGGTTGCTGGTCGGCGCAGGGAACAACGCCGAAGGTTGACGCAGCCACGGTGGGCAAACAGCTGAAGAGAACCTGCTGCGTTGCTTGTGGTCCGTGTTTTGTCACAATCTGCAATGAGGCTGTTGAGTTGTAGGCGTCCAGCTGGTCCGGAGAGAGGCGATCCTGATTCTGGATCTCCAAACGCAGCGCAGTCGTCTCTGTAGGATTCACATTTGCATCAACTGCCACACTCAGTGATGCTTGACATGTGTCCAGCTGGACACAGTTGGCACATGGACTTGGTAGGGCTCGGTCACGGCTCCACTTTTGATATAAAGTCTTGTCACAGTCTTCGACGGAGACATCAGCCTGGGTGTGGTATGTGTCGGGATTGGGGTAGTGGCTCAACTTGCAACATCCAATCTTGGTAACGTGCTGAGTGAATGTCTCAATGTCAATCCTTGTCATCACGTCCATGCCGCAAGTCGCATGCACATTGTAAAGACCACGTCGCCCCTCGTTGGGAACCTCCTCCCTGCAACTGTCCTTACCTTTCAGCAAGACTTTGCAGCATTTCCAAGAGCTGTTGTACATTGGGGTTCCTTCTACATGCCACTCCTGCAGAACTTCATTCTGATCAGCGTCACAACGCATGTCGACCCCTCTCGTTGCCCAATGACCGCTTTGGTTCTGCCAGCGACAG